GAAAACTTGGAGGCACTAGACGACTGTTTTGTCCTAGTATGAGATTCTTCAGCAGCGCTCATCTACGATCCTGCACTCAGCACTCGGACCCGGGACCTTCGGTTTCACTTTCGGGATCGTGGATGCACACTACGAAAAGTTCCATACAAGAGCGAAACAGCCGTCCAGTACTTCAAAATTTTCAATGGTGGTCTAGCATTCATCGATTCATGATCTCAATCAAAAACTTAACAATCTCCACAACCCTACACTGATCAAACTTGTTTGTCTACAAGCTCTTTGATTTGTATCTTGTTTTAAACTTCATTAAATCTGCATATCACATAAAATGGTTTCCTCGAATTGACATTTCATCCATCTGAATCTATGTCATAGATACTAATGATCTTTTGTGAAAAACGTCATGAAACAGGTCCAATTCATCCTGTACGGCAGTTTATTATTAGATTAACTAATAGCATCTAATAATTTAAAAATGTCTGTCAATAATTTTGTGTTATTTCTCTCATTATCTACAATGAAAACCAATTTATCTAAAGTTTTTACATTTGGTTCCATGTAAGATTTTATAGATACGACATTGAAGAGTGTAGAGTACGGACAAAACAGCTTCTGATTGCATTCCACTTTTAACGTATTCTTTAGTTAATGTAAATTCATATTGACCATGAAATATATCAGACTAACGTTTTGATAAATGAACAACACATTGGTGAGTTTTAGCACTAAACAAGAAGTAATTTCAATTTTAATGACTACAATTCAAGTAATATATATATATATATATATATATATATATATATATATATATATATATATATATATATATATATATATATATATATATATATATATATGAGTAGGTGAAAATTTTATATAACAGCTATGAATAACTTAATTGATGGAAGATTGATCAAAATATTTGTTGTTTTGTACTTTTATAATTGGTGGTCATAGTACAATTTTACTTAACAATATTATTGATTTGGTTTTCCTTAAATCATACAAATCTGTACGCTTACGCATATCCAAAGAGTCTAATAGTCAATATTTATGCATTATTATGTTATTAATTGTTAATATTTACTTTAGATTTTACTTTTTATCAGAATGGGTTTTGTGGAGATTTTTAGAAATTTTACAAGTTGAAATCATGAGTCAATTGAAGCTAGACCACCATGGAAAACCTGGAAGCACTGGACGGCCGTTTCGTCCTAGTATGGGACTGCTCAGCAGTGCGCATCCACGATCTCGCACCCTGCGGGATTCGAAACCAGGACCTACTGGTTTCGCGCGCGAGCACTTAACCACTTTTTATTCACAGTAATAATGTCAGTTTTCTAAAAGTATCTTTTTTTAGAAATTGTTGAATGCATTTTCAAGCAACTTAATTACTTGACCACAAGATATCACATTCTAGGCTGAGATTTTTTTCCTAGAGAGAATGGATAATTACTTCTTAAAATAAACCCTTGAGGTATTTATTAAGAAGCATAAAAAGATAAATTCGATAGAAGTGATCTATTAACTTTGATCGAGAACTTTATTTGGTAGTGTGTGTGAACTAATATCAGATCGAATTAAGTCACTTTATACACTTACACCTGGTGATTGCTAGGAATTAATACTAATGGTTAAAGTAGAAAGTCATTGTTATTATTCCATCAAACGGTAATATCACTAGCTTCATGTAAGTGTTGTTTTATTTAGTTGAACTTACCTCAATGTTAATTATCGATAGACATTGAAATAACTACTTTTGAAAGCTTAGCGTCATGCTATGCGCCACTTATATCCACATAAGTAGTATGTAACGATGGTCAGACATAAAATGTATTTCAATGAAAGTTCGAGAGGGAAAGAAAGGGAATGGTAAGCAATTGGTATGAAAATGTATGAACAAAGAAATCTGAGACGATGGATTGATATTTGCAAAAGGAATAGTTAAGTTTGAGACAATTGATTGATATTTTGCAAATTAGCTATTGATTGTATAGTTCTCAGATTTTAGTGAGATGTTCTGTAATTTTGTGTTCAAATACATCCGGTTGTTCCCAACGATATTTTTGTTCACTACAGTGTTTCTAAGGAGACCAAAAATAATACTATAAAATTTATTTTTCACTTCATTTCAGCACCAAGATGAAAAACTATAAACAAGCAACACTTTATTTTGATCCCTTCAAGTTTCACAGTCTTAAATGTTTTTGTGGGTAAAACTTTAGATCAGTAACAGTTTAAACGTTTGAAATTTTAGTTATTCTGTTTTTGAAACATTCTCTCTTTTGTGAATATTAAAACTTATGAAGGTAATCGTCTATATGTACAAAGTTAAACTACCACCACTGATAATCACTAGTTAATAAAAAATTTCCTGATAAAATTTGTTGCTTATCGAATCGTGTACATTTTCAATTGTCTCAATGAATTGAATGAATCTTACATATTTTGAACTGAACCTATGCACATTTTTATTGGTTCAACATAAGTGACATAGTACACTTATCTGTACTAAGACAAAAGATCTAACTGAAGTTTTTTTGAAGTAATTTCATAATTATGTTAGATAATTCAGTTAAGTAATTTGTCGATAATTTTGAGTTGTTTCCTTCTAATATTTCAAAGGTAAATACTTAAGTTATAACTGGTACCAGAGCATTGATTGATTATAGAGAAGCACTGTAATTAAATTTACGAATCGTTTCTTAACTTGAAACATATATATGTGATGAGGATAGACTGTACGGTTATTCTTTAGATTTTAAGAAATGGGATTAATTGGCTCTTTTATTGTTGTTAACCCACAAATGTTTTACATATTTTGCTTACATTTTGTTACCCTTTTTAACTGGACTGTTGAACTGTAGAATACTTGGGGGGACGGGGATAATGAAACCCTGTTAATGTTGTTTTAGCGCTCGATATATTTGTTACGGTCTAGTGGTAAGATGATGAGAATTATATAGGACATAGGATATTAGAGATTTAAGATTTTGAATACGTTTCTCTTTAAAGTCTGTGTGAGGACGAGTGATACTGTAGTGGCTGGTACCATGTCAATCCCATATAAACTACTCTAGCTTCTCGGCAGACCAATTTATTCATACTTCTCAAGACACATCTTGACCTTGTCACTTATTAATTCTGGCTATTTTTATTTGAGTGTGTGTTGATTGTTTACTCTATTTATCGTGTGTCTGTAACTTATTTTTGTCTGAGTATAAATGTTGAGTCACGCTTTTTCAAATTGGGTCGATTCACTCGCCTTCTACACTGCGAGTCATTTCGTTTCGTTTCGCTTCTTCTGCTTTGTTTCTCTGATTGTCTGTTCTGATCAATGAGTGTACGAAGCATATGTATTCAAAATTCATTCTCTTATTTGACTTATTTAATTCCGTTATTCACTAACGCGAATGAAATCGATGATTAAATACTAGGATTGGTGACATATATATTTCGATAACAATCAGCATACAATCTGATTGGAATCGAATACGAGGCCACAAAAATACTACTTGGTCACCTTAACTAACGTAGGTCAGAAAGAAGATTGAGAATTATCATCACGTACTAACTGAAAGCTGAGTGCTTCAACATTTAATCCACATTATGTCATAAACTGATGGTTTTCTTGAAGTTGCGATTGAACCAAATGGGTAGTAAATTGTTATGTAACGTATTAGCGAATTGAGTATATATATAATAATAAATCTTGATGATCAAATTGAAAAGTTATTTAATAATAAATGAGTTTCAAAGAAGTGTCTTGCGTAAAGTTATTGGGTTTTAATAGAAGGGATCCCATATTTCATAATGCTGCTAAACTTGATATTTTTTACTGAAATAGAATAAAACTAAGATGTTTTCTACAGAAAAAGGGACCCGAATTATTTAAGCAGTGCAAAAAATGTAATGACGTTGTTATCATGATGTAATTCATTTTCCATCTTTTTATGTTCATAGTATCTGTTGTTTGACCACAAAACCATGTGTTATTGTAAATACATACTGAAGATGATTATTCCCTTTAAATAAGTAGCATATTTAAAATCATTGAAAGTTTTTCTTTGCCTCGTCAAACTTTGTTAGAAATAAGTAAAAACAGATTATAATTTTGAGATGATGGAGAAGATTTGTAGCTTAGGTGGATGATTTTAGTCGAGTTTTGTTCTTTGAGCTGGTTGGTTTGATCGTGGTCATGAAACAGTTGTTTGATGCTCCCTGATTTTCAATTATCCTCTAGTTGATATCGATCTATGATTAACAATTTATTTGATGATGGTTGGTTATTTGGCTGATGGACTTATATCTTCATCACTTAGCTGTTGAGAGTTGTTACAGCAAATTTTGTGCATTATTAATTGAACATTGTTCTGGGTAAAATTAGTGATATTAACTAAACAGAGAAGCTAGGAAAACGTTCTCATAAAATGATAAAAGCCAACTGTTTTTTTTTGTTTAGGGATTTGTGGTGATTATAGAATTTTCACAATTCAAATCCCAAGCTGATCTTTGCTGGGCCATCATTTAGAACCTAGAAGCAGTGGATGGATGTTTCGTCTTAGTATAGGACTACTAAACAATAACTGTCCCCAATCCCACATGTGAGATTCAAACCTTAAACCTTATGTTTTACGTACGGACACTTATCCCTTAACCATTAAGCTACGGTCCAGGTGTATACAAGTTTAAATTCAATCAATACACGATATTGCATAATCCTTTATCTGTTGCTTGGGCTAGATAACTACCTCACATCCGACACGGAATAGAAATTCTTGTTGCATTTAATAAATCAATGAATTTAAGTATTGTTTTCATTTAGGAAGAGGTTAATTTTTAACCCTTCACAAAGTAAAATATCTTTAAGAATGTTTACTTTTAAAGGAAATTAATCAATCTAATTTTTCAATCAATCAAATTTCATTACTTTTTTTTCAAGAATTACCATAAACTTTTAGAATTTGTACAGTATTCATTTTGTTAATTCTCTTTTCAAGGATCAACGCCAAAATGGTTTATGTATTGGATTTAATTATAAAGGTATTTCTATATTTAAAGATGGTTGCAGTATCAATGTGTTTGAATGGTAAGTATACTACTATCTTCTAATTAAAATCACATGATTATAGATACTTTAATTAATTAACTTGTCACAAGTATACAATCAATTACATATTCAATATCAATTACTTTTTTTATACCTTAGATTTAGCAAATTTAAAATTGTGTCCAAAATCTACCTTTCAAATAACTATCTCACAGTTTAATTTATTTTTACCACATATTTTAAGACTTGAAAACAATTTACAACTATAATCGGTTATCATTTAAATGGAATAATCATTGATTAATCAGAATAACAATAGATGTAAACATTTAGAAGATCTATTTTGAGTATCAAAAATGATTTTTAACATATTTAGTATTATAAGCAAAGGTCGATAGTGGCTAGTAGTGGAATCCAGGACGCGCGTTAAGGCAATATCGAGGCATACACAGAGTATGCACATATGCCAATAAGAGACTGATCAATTTCAGTCCTAAAACATCAATGGGAAGATTCAAGTAAAAACAATATCAAGTGAATATTTAGTATTGTTTTACTTGATGATTAAGACTGCAATTGACTAATCTCTTATTGGCCTATGTGCGCACTATGCGTATTGTCTCGATATTGTCTTAACGTACGAGCATTATAACCTAACGAGTCTCAAATAGAAGGAATCGCGCGTCCGGGATTTCACTTCTAGCCAATATTCATCTTTGATTTTTAACATAGTTGATAACTTCACATTTTGTTTGTCTTGATACAAAATTCTAAAGTTGCTAAAAATATTATTGAACTTCATTTGTTGTATTATGTTTATGCAGCATTTGTGTGATTAATATGACTTAATAATAAAAATGAAATTGAACCTAAAAGTAAATAATGAAATAGAATTAAAAAGTATATTACAATCCATTCAGGACAATTTTTGTAGATTAAAGGATTTACTGGTGGCGTTTGGAAATGTGTTTATTTGCAAAATACGTCAACATGAACTGTACATTGTGTAATAACTTGTAGATTGTATTAGTACAGTCTTTCATTGCCTTATGGTTAATTATACTTGCTATTCAAATTGTAATCTATGATCAATGTGGCTGTTTTATGATCATATTTTACTGATATTATTGAACAGTATATGTCACTTCATGTTACAACGTATTGAAACAAAGAAATTTATGGAAATAGTATGACTTGAACATAAACAATGAGATGAAGAGACAAATGATACATAAATAGAATAAGGATATCATGGCCTAGTTTGTAAAATATGAATGTGAATTTACCATGGTCTAAAATTAATTATTATCTGTTTCTTATAGAATCTATTCAAAAAGTCTATAACTTCTTGTACAAGTTCTCTGAATATTTAAGGATTATTTTGATCAGATTTATATTTTCAGGTGTCAGTTTTTAGTTCTTTCCAAGCTTAACATTTACACCACTAGGAAACACATGTTTTTCAGAACTAAATCGAAGCATGTTTACTAATTTCTCATTTAGTGAAGATTCACGATCATTGTGTATAGCTTATTTCTGAATGATGGATTAGCTCATCATCTCGGAAATTTTCTTTAGGTATCATCCTATATACTGAAAAATGATTTAAAGCATCCATATATGAGAGTCAACATATATCGTTATCACATTATGTAATCACGTATTAAGCCACATAAGAAAAGAAAGGAAATAGTGGATTATTTAGAGAAGTTCAGTTTGTTGCTGTGCCACTTGTCATATCCACAAAACCCTAAACTAATTTGATCCTTGATACTGGGACTCTAAGAATCGGATAATGTAGGTGATAATAAGAAATCCATAGACATGGATTTACTTGATCCTCAGAATAAATCAAAATAATATATGAATATACAAATTTCTATATGAGTTGTTTACAGTTAGACTAGTATTCAGATTTGTATAAGTTGAATTAAACTATACTTCGAGTTGATTAATCAATAAACTACTATATGAAGATATAGTTGCGAAATCATACAATTAAACATCAATAACTAATGTGAATACATTTTATAGATGATTTTGAAAAAAAATCAATTTCATATGTTCCTCTCACACTTCAGTCAATTCAATGCCTGCTCACCATATAACCACTGTTTGAATCATTTAACAGTGGTGGTCAATAAATGAATCCAATCAACATAACAATAGTAAAGGGATGCGTAGTTCTATTACATAAGAATAAAACGCATAAATGATAAATGCAATTTATTATTAAGTATTAGTTTGAAAGTAATAATATTATAAATGAAACAGATGACAATGAAAAATTGTTTGCGGTCAACGTATTAATTTATAAATAGTAAAAAAAGTAAGAAGTATGTATTAGAGAACTTCGCTTAAGCATTTTTTTCTGCACAAAATCAATGAAAATGTGCTAAAAGTTATGTAATTTATTGTTTACATATTTACCATCACTTGCCGGCTCAGTGGTCTAGTTGGTTAATCGCCTGGCGCGCGACTGATAGGTCCTGCGTTCGAGTCCTGTGAGGCGGGGTCGTGGGTGCGCACTGTTGAGGAGTTCCATAATAGAACGAAACGGCCGTCCAGTGCTTTCAGGTTTTCCATGGTGGTCTAGCTTCAATTGACTCATGATCTCAACTGTAGAGATTGTATTTTAAGCCACATTAAATCATTTTATGATCTTGTATACTGCTGTAAACTTATGTTTTTGTTAGTTAAAAAGGAAGATTTTATTAAGGTTAGGGCTTTTTGTAGGTTGTTTAGAAGAAGTGAGTTTATAGTGGAGACTAATAACAGTAGAGTTATCGCTAACCATAAATAGTAGTCACCTTGTTCACAAATATAACTCAAACTATAAACCTTCAAGTCTGGCATTTAGTACGATAATCTTAGAATATAATGAACTGAATTTCTAAATTCATTGAATGTTTTGGTACAAATTAAATTAGTCAAGTTAAAATGAGCAACTAAGCTAATGTATCCATAGGTCATTAGTTTCACCATGTAACAACTGAAAATAAGAAGTTCCTACAAGAAATATAGTTTGCATTGACAAAAAGCAAACGATTGTTCAATGTTTATCCAATTATTAGTGCTAAGCTAATTTATATGATGTTGCTATTTCTTAAGCAAAACAGAAGCTAGTGTATTATTCACTAATTAGTTTGTAATCGTTTAAACAAAATATTAAACATTTCTATTTGATGAAATTCTTAGTGCATTGAATTTCTTCAATCCTTAAATTTCAATTACTTTGTGCTAATTAATAAAGTTCAACAGTTGAGATCATGAGTCAGTTGAAGCTAGACCACCATGGAAAGTTTGGATGGCCGTTTCGTCCTATTGTGGGACTCCTCAGCAGTGCTTGCCCACGAGCCCGCCTCGCAGGATTTGAACCCAGGACCATGCAGTCAGCGCTTAACCACTAAGCCGGCCTCCAACGGTGTTAATGTCTGACTTCAATTAATTGACGAAAGTAAGCGATCACCGTAACTGTCTTTTGGATTGTGGATGCGCACTGCTGAGAAGTCTCGTGATAGGAAGAAACGGCCATCCAGTACTTCCAGGTTTTCTAACATTGATTCATTCTTGATATCAATCTAAAGTCAGAAACCTTCAAAACCCTATACTGATGATATGAACTCATAAACGTTTTAAATATTTATCGTTTGTTTTCAGTATTGAAGTCTAATTTCAGTTTTTTTCTATTATCGCTATACAGGGCATTTATTAAAAACATTTATCCAGAGAAAAAGAATTTGGTTTTAGTCGTTAGTGGAAAAGCGGTAAATTCTGTTGTTGATTCATCATTTATGTTGAGTTAACTTGTGTTTGAAAACAAAGTTTAATTTATATTGTATTATTGAAAGCATATAAATAATATAATGTGCTTTCATTTTATCTGTATTTATTCTGTTTTGAGTCAAGGTTTTCACTAAGTTTTCATGTATTCTGCATTGTCATGATTTCTTCATGACATTTCCTTATAAAGAAAAAGAAATCAAACAGATATTTATTGTTGTTTCATTAGTTCAGTATTAAACTGGTTTCATCATAAAACTAATATCCTCACGATTTGATTAGTAAATATGTAAGATTATCGATTCTTATGCACTTCATTCCTTTGCTTGTACTAACTTACTCTCGGAAGGGAATAAGTGTTATTCTCAAAATGCTGTAAAATATAGCGATTCGTTTTGGTGACATCAATGAAGCACAGTTTTTTTTAGATGAAGTGGAAAAGCTCGGATTGATGATCTGGGTTGTGTGGCAGGATGTCAACTTACTGATGGGAACCACAGCAAATGTCGTATTTAGTGGTAATAGATGCTGAGTTGCACGACCCAAAATGAATTAAAATAGCTTCATTACATCAATTCTTTATGTTCCTTTAAATCTCTGGTTGATTTTCATTCATAATTTTGAAAATGAGTGACTGATTTATCATAAGTGCAAATATCTTCCCAAAATAGTAGTAAACCTAGCTTTCCTTATAAATTTGCTCTCATATTTCTTTTCAGTCAGAGGATGACAGAGATCTTGTTCTTGGGTTCAAATGTAAATCGCCTTCAGAAGCCAAAACTTTATGCTTACGAGCACTCAACTGTAAAACATTCAAAGAGTAGGTCATTTTTCACTCAATAGAAACTGTAAATTACATGTTTTAACTTTTTGTATTATTGGATATTTATTATATATTTTACAATGTTTTAAAATTTTTCCCTTTAATTTCATCAGTCAGGTATTATTTTCAGGGGTCTCTAGTTCAACATGTTTTACTATTCTATATCGAGTACACGTTCATTAATTTGTATTTACTATGGTACAGCCTCACATACCGGTTCATATTAATGGTTAACATGGAAAATTTACATACTTTTGTAAATGATGTCATTGGTTGTCATGTAAAGTTCATTATTTTTGTTGAATAACTTAAAAACTTACGAACCACGATAGGTTTCAAGGATGATTAGTAGGGGAGTAGGAATACAATTCAATTTATTACTAGCTTCAAATTAGGTTCGAATTATCGTAGAAACGTTCTGTAGTTTTCTACTCACGTGTAATGTTTTTATGGTCCACTCCGACGAATCAAATAGGTTTTCCATTTTAAATCAGACTAAGATGTTCTTTGCCTGATCGTCAAATGATAGTAGATAACTTAACAATTTCTAATCATTACAGGTCGATTCATTGTTTGTAAACAAATTTCGAAATCTTGTTATCAGATTATAGTCGCTTATTTCTTAAGTCATTAGTACACCCTAGAAGGCATATTTAGTGAAAACGTTAATCATTCAACTAAATGAATAAAAATGTAGTTAATAAACAAACTATGAATTGCAGAACAACACAGCTTTTTAGAGTATAAATATCAGTAGTTAACAAAAGTGAATTTGAGACTATCTTTCAAAGTTAGGCTATCGGATAAAATTTATAAACACTGATACACCAAAAAAACAGTGTTCTTGTTGATAGTGGTCTGAACCAGGACATAGAATTCAAAGAAAAAGTTTATTGTTACAGTTTCACTGGAGCAACCGACGCATAAATTCACACTTCTTAAACTACTTACTATTTGTGAGTAGCATGTAGTAAACGTCATAAGAAGCGGTGTTCATGAACGTTAATAAAGGCAAAATTTATTTAAGTGAACTGGAGATCCTAATATCTACGCTTCTCAAATGAAAAAATTGATAGCTATTATTCTGTTTCTTACTGTTATGAGTCTGCATAGCTAGTTAGTTCCTTCACATTAAGTTATGCTTAATCGTGACATTTTCGACTATCAGTTAGCTATTCAAAAGACTGAATCCTGTTCACTGATGGGAATCATCTCGAAAATGCCGAATATTGATGGCGTTTTTTGTAATGGCACTGAAAATAAGCTCTTCATGTTCTACCTTTATTGCAGGCACTAAACTAGTAAAAAATATAGCATGAAACAAAAATATGATAGTCTGATGACTGATATAGAAATTTTGGTGAAGTTATGTTTTCTGAGCTGGACGGTTTGGTCATGGAGCATTCGTTGTTCTTCTGATCAACATTCTCAGCACAAACTTCGCGTAGAAGCAAAGTATTTGAGTTTCTCTGCATATGACTAACAGATTGTCTTGTTAATCTTGATCTTGGTTGATTATTGTTGACCTTTACGCTATCATTTTCTACCTCTTTGTTTTGATTATATCTCCCTTTGACTTGATTCTTGCACCTATATTTGTCCACAATCTTTCTGATTGGTTGGTATTTTGAAGTGCTTGTTGATTGCTGACTGACCTGAGTACCAAGTTCCAAAAACTTCCTGGTGTTCTTAATAGTCTTTCTATTCTGGATGTCAACATTTTCCCAGTTGATTGTGCATTCATACTTGTCCATACGCATTGATATAAGTGAACATATGTTATGGCGTTTGATCACTAATTGATGTTCATGCAGGCAAAGATGAAGAGATCATCCACTTTGTGTTATGTGGTGTTGTTTGTGACAGGAATAGTTTGTTTTGCAGATGATGTTTTTTTCTCCTTTGTCACTTCGTACTTTGGTTTGCATAGGACTGATTGAAGTGGTTTCACTGGTTTATGTGCTAAATTTATTCCAAATAGCTTCAAGAATTTCGTGACTTTTGATATATTTTTATATATAGTAGGATGATCCGTTTACCGGTCTCTATACTTAATTTTGTTTCAGCTGATAAGTTTGTTTAGTATTTTTAGATGAATTTGTTTGAGAATCCATTGTTTTGAAAGATGGTCATTAAATATTTTCCTTCATTTTTCTGCTCTGCAAGTATGTTACAATGTACCGTCCTCCTCTTGAAGAAAGTTTTTAGGCAGTTGATTTTGTGAGTTCTTGGGTTGCTGCTACTATCGTTGGGAATCTGATACACTGCTTCTGCAATAAGTCTTGTCATTTCTGGTCTCATTGATGTCCTTTTCGTTTGTTCGTAAATTTTATTGTTAAATTAAAGATGTGTTGTTATTCATAAATCAATGAGTTGTAGCAGACTTTGAAGATCCGTGTATTCTGGGAGATTTCTGTCGTTAGTGAGGAACATGGTTAAAGTTCCTTTTCTAAGCTTAGTTTGATTAAGGTGAATATAGCACTTTTATCCAAGGATATCATCAGTTCGCCGTTGTTGACTTGATTCTACTTAACCTTATCGAACAGTTGTACGAGAGATTTAATAAAGTGGTCGGATCAATCCATTAAATGGTTCAGTATCCTTGAAATTTCTTTTGATAGATTGTATGTTGAGGTTCCAGAGAGTGATAAAATTGGACGTAATGGGATGTTTGATTAGTATAGTTTCGGCCTACCGTAGAATCGAGGGAGTGCTAGTCCATTAGATTTCATTTTTTATGGTTTTGCTTTGACTAGTTTGTTTAAAGTTTATGAGATTTGTTTGTTGCTCACATAAACAATAAATTAGTAACATGAGAGAACGCATATTTATTTCAACACCCGAATACATAGGTTTATTTCTTGTTATTATTAATTGTATAATTTACCACACTGTCACTGTTGTTTATCCAAAAAACCCTTTGGTTGATTTGGTGTTTTACATATATGTATACTAAATATAACTGTATGTTAGAATAAGACTAAAGAAAGTCCTAACTGAAGACAATATTGTTCATTTATGTGTCTAATTTATATATAGTTTGATTAAGTTATTGATCAAATGAGTTAGTAAACTTTGTCATCTATTAAGAGTATACAAGTTTAGTCTTTAAATCATTTTTTTCAGTACTTCGATATTACTTGATTTTTTAGGTAGATATCAGTTAGTTATTTGAATAATATTTTTGATTGAGTAGTCAGTCCTGGATTCCATTGCTAACCACTATCCATCTTTGCTTATTTAAATATGTTTAATAATTGTTTAGGATATATAATTGTTTCTCATATTTAATCTTATAGAGTACAATTACAGGAGATGTCTCTTATTCCTCGACCTTTTAGAACATCTAACATTTTAGCTTATCGGTGAGTAATAGTTACTTAATTATAGTTACTTATAGTTACTTAATTTTTTTAATCAGTAATATAATGGTTTATGATCATTATGATTTTACATTTTTTTCTCATTAATTTAACCATTTATTTCAAATAACTTCATATGATCATTCATTTACTCATGTAACAGTACGGAATTCATTATGTTAACTTAATTAACTCATTTCAATATATGGATAAATAAACATGACAAATTAACAAAAATCAATTCAGATATTGCATAGAAATTTTCACATATAATTATCAATTTCAATAGTTGAGATCATGAGCTAATTGAAGCTAGACCACCATGGAAAGCCTTAAAGCACTAGACGGTCGTTTCGTCCTATTGTGCTGAGGAGTCCCACAATAGGAAGAAACGGCTGTCCAGTGCTTCCAGGTTTTCCATGGTGGTCTAGCTTCAATTAACTGATGATCTCAACTATTGAATTTACTATACTATCCAAAAAAATCCTTTTGATACATAAACATCGTTTAGGTAAAATTCTATGAGTTAGCATATTTAATTTATTATTTTCATTTTACTATAATCAACATACTTTTCAACTTATGATTACTTATTTAACTTAAAGTTCCATTTATTGTAATATTGAAGACATCTGGTAACGGTTAAAATATACCCATAATCTTTTAGGTGTATGTGATTATTTATGTCGTTACAAAAGACTTTCTTTGATTACTTGATATAACTTCAGATCTTACATTCACATTATGATAAATTTGCAAAACCAAATCATCTCTTACCAGTCCAGTTTCTCGCTTTTATATCATTATGTCATGAATGTCTTCCCTAAACAAACTTCTTAGAACTATTTAACTCTATGATAGCTGTCTTGAAGTAGTATACGTAGTCTATAAATTTGTTTCTACGATGCTTATAGACAGTTAAGAAGTAAAATATTTTTAATTACTTCATGAACAGAATAGAGAATGTTAACCCAAACCTTATAGATTATCTTTCAGATGTTTGCTTACCAATCTAAAAATCATTCTAAGAAAAATGTTCATTTTCTATTAACTACATACATATATTTTCCCTACTCAAATACCCACTGATAGTATGATTTTCTAACAAATTGAAGCTTATCAGCTTGCCATGAACTCATTCTTATTAAATTATAATATGGTGTATGCTACTTATGTCGACAGATATAAGTTGTAAGTAATACCAATCACAAGTGGGATTCCCAAGATCAGAAGGTTGAAAAGATCGAATTGAAGAGAACAGGAATGTAAACAGAGAGTAATTGTAGTAACAGCAGGAATGAAGGAAAGATGAAATTTGTATGAGACAATTGATCAAAAATGTGCAGATGATGTATGTAATGTATGGTTTGCATATTTTACGAAAACATTCTGTAATTTGTATTAATCAATAAATTGGTTCTCCTCACCTCAGCGTTCGTTTACTACAACAATATGTTCAATAAAATTATGGTTAGAGCATAAATTTTCCCGCAGATTACAATTTCCCGTCATTGTTTTATTCTAAAGAATTGATCAGTCGATCTTATCATAGACGTATGAAACACTGTAAAGTTGATGTAGCTTTTAAAAAAACTGTTATAATGTTTAGTGGTGAATAAATATGTACATATTTGTATTAGGTTTTAGCCTTAAATAAAATACACTAGAACATCCACTGAATTATAATGAAATTCAACCAGGCAATTTATAATTGATCATAAATGTTGACTATCATCCTGAAGTGGCTTCGTTTCTTTAAATAATCACCTTTTATAATTGTTATCATATAAATCCCAACGGTATTTGAAATCAGAAGGCAATAAAAGGCGGCGACTACAGTTTATTTGTGGACAGCACGGATGACAAAGCTATTAACACATTGAACAAGTTTGAAGCGGAGAGACGAATGTGTGTATGTGAGCAAATACAGAGGCAAATTTATAGTCAAATCGAATCAAGGCCCAGTTAGGATTTTCAAAGGCTAATAATAGGTTTCGAATACATATATACATATATATTCAAGTGATTAACATTTTAGCCAGAGTCTGTCATGTGACCAAGTATACATGTTTATACAGACAACAAAATGATTATCTATTAAGTTAATAAAAAGACTTAACCAAAATTAACCATAATCAAAATTGATTGTAGGAGAGTTGCTATAGTCCTTTGTTCTTTGGAAATCCGCATACTTTGTTGATTATCTCCCATACCATTACATACTACTATTATAATGTTGTTTAGTACAAAAATTTGAATCTTGTAGACAATTAAAATGATTTGAAAGTAACTCTATTGATAAATAATGAAGCTATAATTGAATTGTATGCACTTCAACAATTAAAAATTGACGCGTTGGATAAACAGATTCAAGTAGATTAGTGAGTCACGCGTTGACGTTTAAAGTAAAAAAAAACAGTGTTCGGGACTCTATATGGACATCGATATGGATAGAGATACATCTAGCTGACTAGTTCCAAATAAGACGAAACAAGTGCACTGAATTTCTTTGCTAGCCACATACAGAAAATACTAAGAACTTGTAACTAAAGTGTATATTGAGGCTACCTCCCTTCAGGAAGAACACATGGCAATATAGATTGATCAATTGCAGTCCATAAGATCAACAACGGGTAAAAACAACCACATCTATAAAGTAATCAACATTGATTAATATTTGGTTTTTGTTTTCTCTTCACAGACCATCAGAAATTATTAATCAAGATTCTTTAAGTGATTCTTCTGATAGTTCACAGTATGCTTCACTAAAATGGTGAGTGGTGCCTGTTTAAGTACTAGTTATTTCATAATGGTTCAACTGGGGAGCAATAATATTTGAACAATAGTCAACTAATTTGTACATTTTTCAAAATCTCGAGATTATTATTTTTGTTTATGGCGAATAGGTCTAACTGATAATTTATTAGGGAATTTTCATTTGGAATCATTCTGATTAAATTAATTCACTACTAGATGGTTGAAGAATCGCCACTAAAAATCATATAAATGACGCTTACCACTATCTAACAAGCTGATATCACATTTAGATAAAAAAATGTTAAATACATCTTATTTACACATCAATCACATGAATATACGATCTATTTTCGTTCTTTGAAATATTCCATTACATCAATTTTACGTTGTTTGTAGCGATAAACTTTAGAAGTGTTTCAGCAGAAGAGAGTGATGTCAGCAATACAAATATTCTGAAGCTAGTATTCTATTATTCTTATTAAATGGGTCGATAATTGATAAGTGTCGACACTAAATTGGAAGATCGATTAGATGTCTAACATACAGTTTCTTAATTTGAAACCTAAATTATTTTGTTTGTTTTTAACCCTGGTTTTACATATGAGCAGTGATTTTCAGATGAATGTATCTGATCTCTGAAATCACAAACGTACTTCAGATAAAATGAACAATCAGAAGTGATGTTAGTTTATAGTACAACACTGCTGATAGTATACACACTGTCATAGTCATAAATTTTTTTAGCACAGAGTTATCCCTATTTGATGCAAAACATAAATATTTCAAGAAGGTGGGATCACTATAACATTATTTGTGTTTCAGAGTGATCGATTTTATATCACTGACATATATGATACATTAAACTATACGTTCGCTAGAGTTCAGTGTTTAGCTGGAAGTTATGCTTAAGATACATCAGAATAGTATATCAAGGGTGTAAATAAATTTGATAGACTGAATATTGTGAATATATACCTTATGTAAAAGAAAATTCTACAACATTGATTGTGACAGCAGACCAAGCGACTAAAAACAAGTAATTACATAATGAGTAAACGGTGATAGGAATTAAATGAGTAAAGCTCATTTAATAAAATAAGATTACTAATCTGGAAGATAGTTGAAATAAAAACTCAGAGACGTAATAAATGCAAAAAAAAGTTAAAGAAAATGTTTAAGATGCAACGAAGGAATATTTATCACCAAAACAAGAAAGGATTAATAACCATCTCCTTTTGAACATATAAGTCAGGTTTTTGACGCCTGATAGCAACGGCTTCAGCAAACTTCAAACGACTGGAGTTTGGCTGCCTACTTATCACCTTAAAAAATTGCAAGGTATCGACTTGATGTCCTGTATCCAAGAGACGTTTGGTGATTGCACTGTTTAGAGTCTTTCTTTTTCTCTCTTATTCTGAGGTTTTTTTTGAACATGCTCAAAAAATTCAAGATATATCCTCATTTATGTTCGGCCAATGTAGCTGCTTTGGCAGGTACATGTAAATATATAAATACAGTTGGCGGTAACATGAAAGGGGTGCTTGTCAACCTTTGATTGAGTTATTGAACATGTTGTTTTATACATAATTAATAGTATGGTTGCGGGGTAAGTTCTGGCTAGTGCAGTGTTCAGTCTCTTGTTGATTGTGTTTGCGACGTCATCACCTTTGAAGTTGAGATTTATAGATACTGGTTTTTTATTGACCGTACTAACTTCCGTCTCGTTTTCTTTAGGTTTTTTTTATATTTTTCAATAAGTTTTCGTGGGTAGCAGTTGTCTCTCAGGCATTCTTTGTATCATAATTATAGAAATATTCTCATCGTTGAAGATTATTAGAATATTTATATGTTAAATAATATACATAGATTCTAAAAATATAACTTTCGTAGGTTATGTGGAAAGGGATTAATGTATGAGATAGATATTTAAAGTTATACAATAATGATAACAACAACAAAGATTGATTATAAGATTTGAATGTTTGGAGCTCAGATTAAACTTTGAAAAAAGTATGAAGATTAATTTTCACTAGGAAATAAAAGTATGTTGGAAATAGTGTTCAAAGCAGAGAAAGAGTGTCAACATTAATCTGGTTTAAGTCTTTTGATAGCGATTGCTTCAGTAAAACGTAATAAGATTTTCGTTTTTCAATAGTTTTGAATGATTTTGAAACATTAAAGTCATGTTCATTATCAAGTAAATTGTGGGCGATTGAACTATTGATGACATAGTAACATCTTGGTCTCAACTTTTGAGGAATGTACTTGACAGTGGAAATAGTTACTTTTCTTTCTTTTCATTTTGTGTGTGTGCTTTGGCATTCATATGTAAACTGGTATTTGCAGGAAACGTAGGATGAGCGTCTGTCCACTTTCAAATGTCTCAAAGAGCGATTGGTTTCTTATATTGAGACAAATTTTGTGACTGAATAAAACATTTTTGAAGTAATCATTAGTCTAAAATCAATTTCGTTACTTTTAAGGCTAACTCGTATAAAACTAGGATTGTTTCCCAAATTCTTCCATATTCATAACTGTTTCTATTAGTCTTTATCGATGAGAATATTTCTAAGGTTATGATACAAAGAATGTATATTCATTTTGAATGAATTATAATATTTTGTTTGGATTGTAAGTAGCTGATGGGACATTGTGAAATGTAATGCATCCACTCTTTGTGTTTTCCCAAATTCTAATCTTCTGAATTCTTCGTGTCCTTATTTTTTCTCTTTCCAAATTTATTTCACTGGATTATACTCCTTGAATAACATCTTCAAACCCTAATCTTCCCGATTACTGCTTATACTCTTACCGCCTCTACCACTACGGGATTTGAATCGAAAACTGCATCTCTGTGCTAATGTGATATGGCAACTCGAACTGATGTACGTACGTACGAAGTTCCACGTTGTTACTGACTGACTGACTGAATTCATATTATTCCATTAAGTTTGTTCTCATTACTGTATTTAAATTAATTTATCACTGGTAATAATTTTAAATGTTATTTTTTAAAGTCATTTTTCATAATAAATATGTCTGTATATATTTTTCTTCAGTAAATATACTCCAACTGTAAATATTCAAACAGATGTAACAACAACAGCAACAACAACAACAACAACAATTGCAACAAAAAAATCACATAAAAATTCAACTAGTTCAGAAGCAAGTGAAAATACAGCATGGCCGATCGATTTTACAGCATTCGTTGGAAAAGAATGTATTGCTAATAATGATGTTAATCAAGACAATACTAATCAAAATAATGATGATCAAACACATAGAATAAATATATCATATTTAGATCCCCCATCAAAACCGGTGAATAGAGTAAGTCCACGAACTAGTTTTGGCGGAAGTATGGACTTACCTATACCAAGTGAAAAAAGACCACAAGTTTCTGAGTTATCATGGAAATCTAAACCGGTTCATCGATTAGTTAATTCATCTTCTATCAATGTGAACAAGTAAGTTTTTATTAAGTTTATATTTTGTTTTCATAATATTACACGTGATAGTAACAAATGGTGTTAGGTAGAGGGTAGTTACCTACAGAAGATAATAGGAGGTGATCGTACAATATTGTGGACTGATCGATATCAAAACCGCTCAATGCTGGATCAGTGATCTGGACGTTAAGCGTGTGAGCGCATGACTGAAAATCCAGCGTGCGGGATCGTAGACGCACACTGCTAAAGGACCCGATATTAGAACATGATGACCATTTAGTGCTTCCAGGTTTTCACTTGTGGTCTAACTTAGAACGTTTTGTGATTTTAGTAAAAATGAACAATATCCACAACCGCATATTTACAACAAATCAATTTGGAATTAGGCATCTTACAGTTACTTGTTCGATAATATATTTGCAAACGTAGATTGTTGAGCATAACTCAGTAGTTTGAAACTTAACGCATCTTCCTAAGAATTAAGGATTTTGGACTTGATTATTAGTGAGTATAATAATTCTTAGCAGAAAGGAATTTTTGTAGATATTATAGTAATTTAATAGTTGAGTTCATGAGTCAACTAAAGCTAGGCTCAGTGGTCAAGATGTTAAGCATTCGCACGCAAGACGAAAGGTCCTAGATTCAAATCTTGTGTGCGGGATCTCAACTAAAATACTAGTTATAACATTTAATCTATGTATCATTAAAAATATTCAACATTTAGAGAATGTACATCATCTGAACTGTATAAAGTACAAGTTTTCAAAGTAACCTCAAATTGTGATGAATCATTGAATATATCTATATCTAGGTTGTTGATTAAAAGTTACAAAACACGATTTTGTGATGATTTTATCTATTAATTGACATCTTTTTGAGAATTCTCGAAAGTCACAGAATACTGAAAAGTTATTTCTTCCTGTTATTAAAATCCTAATTAGAAAATACAATACTTAGATTATCTTTACTTATACTACAACTTATCACAGTAAAATACAAGCTGAGGTGAAAAGTATCTAATTTCTATTGCAATATTCAAAACATAATATCTCTCAACAAAAATCATTATGTTCTAGAGGTAATTTATAGATTATCAGAAGTATTATGGAGATTTTAATAATTTCAATAGTTGAAATCATGAGTCAATTGGAGCTAGTCCATCATAGAAAACCTGGAAGCACTGGACGACCTTTTTGTCTTAGTATCATCTGCTCACTAATGACTGACTTCAAGAGGCATTTCCTGGAGTTCTAGTGGGAAGTCGTGACCAGTGGAGTTCAACCAGGTCTGTTGTGAGATATCGACTCACTGAAGACAATGGTTTGCGGTGGCGTAATTTCATGGATTGGTTGAAGTTAGACATTAAAACAGCTGGATGCTGACTCAGTGGTCCAATGGTTAGGCGCTCGCGCGCTAGACTGGTAGGTCCTGGGTTCGAATCTCGCGGGGGCGTGGTCGTGGATGCACAGTGCTGAGGAACGGCCGTCAAATGCTTCCAGGTTCCCTATGGTGGGCTAGCTTCAAGTGACTCATGATTTCAAATACTGAAATTCATGGTTTACTCAACATCGATATTGGTGTTATGATCTTCATGATAAGAGCTAAAAGACATATACCTTTATAAATTATAGAGTCGGAAAATTAACTGGTGAATCGTCGTATATCCCGAGAGATTATATTTCATCTCTTATAAGATAATATTCGTTTATATAATCTACTGTTTTAAATATTTACAGTTAATGAAATGAAGAGGGAATAAAAATTCCTTTCACTTTGAGTAGCTTTCTAAAACTTATTAAAGACACTAATTAAACATGGAATAATTTCAGAAATGTTTAGTTGCTATCAGAATAATAGATAGACTATAAGTATTTAATAATAAAACTACTGTCTTATATTAAAAAGAGCAAGAACAAAACTTCTAGCAGAATAGCATGAATTCATTTTATTTCATTAGTTCTCTTTCACTACTTACAATCTATGAGAACCAATGAAATAAAATGAATTATTATTAGTAATGACTTTAATCAATATTATATTTTGGCACAATATAGAATTCTCAGCACAGGGTATTTCAACAAGTTCCTTTTACAGAAAAAAAACAAAAATAAAAAAAGAATGCAAAAATATGAAAAAAAAGAAACTGTACCACTTTCCAAATTAGAGACATGTTTAAGAATACAGGTTATTGACTAGATTGGCTCTAGATAAGGTATTATAGAACTTTTATACTTTTGCTTGTGTTCATGAATTTTAATGTAATTATGTCTCGTTCTATCAGAAGATATACGAGGAGAAATATATAAATAAAGGGATGGTTAGTATCTAATAAGATAACGTTTCCCACGAGTTTGCATGTCTTTAGATGTCTATCCACAACCATATTAATTATGAACTCGAATGACTCACCACACACATTGTTAACTAACTTCAGCACTCTCTGCAATACAGCAAACTGTTTTCTCAAAAGTTCGTGAAAGAATATTGGAGAACAGTAAAGAATAATAGGTAATATACTTGAATTGACAAATTGTAAGAGTAAATAACGAGTATACAGCCACTTTATGTAGTAAGTCAAACGAAAAACTATTCTGCTAAAATCTTCATTCTTTCTCCTTTCAAAATAATAAAAGGAACTATGTGTTTGAGAAAAATATTGTTTCATAGTTTTAGATTATGATTAATATATTCAAAACAAATATTAATTCACTCTAAGCTTTATCCACAAATATCATAATAGATTTTAGTAGGGTAACTACAGTTTATTAGTTATATCTTTTGGTTATTACATTATATATATATGTGATTATTCTTATGTTACTTTATAGTGAAGATGATAAATAACCAAATATATCTCAGTTGAACATTATCAATTATTAATAATATGAAGTATAATGAATACTGTTTTCTTCTTTCCTATTCTTTTGACAACTATTAAAATAAACAAAAAATATAACTACCGATGAATTATACAACACTTTTGAATGATTCATTATTATTATTATTATAATCCTCATTATGATCACTAATATTATCTAATATGATAATGAATCTGAATCGATGTATTCAGTTCTTTTTTTCTTTCAATCATTATCATAATTTGATAATGTATATTTATGTAATTCTTCACTTCAATCATTCACTATTATGAATTCATATTAAAAGAACAATAAAAGTAAACAAAAAGAAAATATGAATTTCATAGATTAATGTCTTTCATAATGTATATTGTAAAAACAAAAAGATAGTTCGTTTTATTCTTTATTTTATTCTCGTCTTCATTTTTATTTTTATTTTATTTTTGTTGTGTTTTTTTCTCTCTTTCAATTTTTACTACACATTGTATCACTTAATGTAAAGAGTTAAAGTAAAGAAAACGAATCAAATGTGAATTAACTTTATATAGATTTATTGTTTAATTATAGTAATAATACTATTAATGTTTTTTTTTGTATTTTTATTTGTTTCTTTACGCGTTCAATCCTTCTTTTTTCTTTTTTTCTCTCTATTCCATATAATTAATTGAATAAAAAAACAAAATATTTTAATGATTTTTCATTTAAGTTATCAGATTTAAATAATTTATTTTGATTATTCAAATGATTCGTTATTAGTTAAACAAAAATTGACTAATTATCATCATGTATTACTGAAGAACAATATTAGTAACTATGCCATTATTATTATTATTATTAGTCGATTATTTGCACGTTACTTATTTTGGGAAATTTCTTTCAGTTGGTGATTTTTAAAAAAATATTTTCTGTCTACATTTTATTTCTTTTATTTTACCTTTTGAAATTCAATTCTTATTTGTATATTCTATTTTGTTTTGTTAATTCAATGATTTTGTTTATTATTATTATTATTATTATTATTATTATTATTATTATTATTATTATTATCTATTAATAATTTAATGAATGTGATCTGTTTCCATAACAATATGTCATTGGTAAAAAGATGGGGTGGAGTGAGAGAATGGGATGGATATACTTGTTTATCATTAATTATCTATTTATTATGTTTTAGGTGTAATACATGGATTAATTTAATTTGTTTTTATTCTGTATGTTGTGTAAATGATAAATAGAATGTATAAAAAAATATATATGAAATGATGTTTTTTTTTTCTTCATTGAATGAGTTGTCTTTATGGAGAATAGTTTAATTTGAAGATAGTTGTTGTCAAACATAAATTATTTAAATAATGTTTGTAAATTAAGAATTATTGAATAGCTGTTTTATTCTGATTTGAGACTATTGAGGAGTGCTAATTTCTTAACTTTATTGTAGACCTATTTTAAAACTTCTATATTTAGTAATTGGCTTAGTATCTCATTTAACTTTAGTCAGTTTGGCATGTTGTTCAATAATGACACATTGAAATTACTAAGCAACTAATTAATCTATGATTTGTTTGTGGACCATTGAATTTTAATTTTTAATGGTCTAAAGCTGACTGGGGAGTTGTGAGAGGTGAAGGTCCTTGACATAGTCTAACATGAGATCCCAGGCACTCGATGCTAAAAGTTCTTCAACAAAGAAGAAAATACACCTCCAAGATTATATCTTTTTTTCCTAATTTCGTTATCCATGCATAGGTTGCCGATTGCTGATATTTGCATCTTGCTAAGCACGATTATTTTGAAAATAATATGTATTTGACCTTATAACTGAATAAATCTTGGTCCCGCCCTAAATATGCATCTACTTAGTTATTTTCACGCATTAATAAGTGTTAACATCTATCTACTACATGAGAACTCTACAATTGATTGATCACTGAGTACTGACCAGTATCCTATGTGCTATGCCCTTCTTATTGCATGTTACTACTCAGTGATCAATCATTTGTAAATGCATCTTAGTCCCACAGGAGGTCAGTTGCGGCTCAGATAGATCATCAATAACGCCTCCAACTGTGAAGTAGGGTGACACGGGACCAAATCCGTCAGGGAGCATCCGTTCCCTCAGAATTACAGGTGTACTATACTGACGAATATCAAATTGCGCGCAACCTAGATCAAACGGGATTTCCTGTCGGCTACTTCCAACCGTCACCCTACATGAATACATCTTTGCAAGTGATTTACAATACTAAATTATCTGATACGGTGATTACATCAAACAGTCAGTTGTGAAATAAGTCGACAATGGAATAAGGATAGTTTCCAAAATTTTATTTCAGTACTGTTTGAACGAAATAAAACAAAGGTAAATAGCATGAGTGATCGCATTAATACAACTAAAAACAAAAATAAGAAATACATATCTAAGATGAAACTATTGAAGTTCGGATAAACGATTGGCTTAATATTTTAATAAAAATAAAATATAGAAGTATCTGCTTCACTGACATCTTTGATGAGCAACGATTCCAACCATATATCTCATGAACCTTAGCTACATTGTGTGAATCTCAAGGATTAATTCTAATTATTATTATTATTTTTCATTTAAACACATAGATATTGGTACAAGGAGGCACCAAATACACATGCGCAACACAGATCTCATTTGATATGTGTGAGGGCTGTGATACTGCCCGGGTGCCCAAACCGAAGCAGGTGGTTTTCTTAGGGGTCACACTTCGAGCCTTTGACCTACAGGTCTGATCCACGAGGCAGTGGAGCATCGTAAGGAGATGCAGTTCCATGGTAGCCAGTGGCCAATAATTAGTTCATACGCCATTTGTTCCCTCAGGGTACTGGATCCCATGTGCACCATTGTTTCGGAATCAGGGTTTTCCAACTCTCCAAGGTGTACTTTCCATGTCCACCAACCCAGTCAAAGCGCCGAACGTTCGCTTTTCGTCCTCTCACTTTCGCAAACAATACCTCCTCCACGATAAGGCAATGAGTAGGACTTTCCTGTCAGAGGCTATATACACGTGGCCATGTGAGATCATCTGGAGAGGGAGAGCGGACTCTTCTCACTGTCGGCCGTACCAGGGCATTTGAGGGCATTAATTCAAATAATTGATTAAATACTTTAAAGCTCGATCTAATCATTCCTCGTTTGCATTCAATTTACTCCTATACTGGCTAGCATATAACATTAAAATAAGCGGTAACTGGTCATTAAAAGCAAATCGTAATCTCTTTATCCAGTGAGTGTTCATTTAGTTGCAAACCGATTCATTATCTTTGGTTTCGTGCTTAAACTCAAAATTATCCGTCAGTTCGACTACATGTATAACTGAACATCATCAACCTGTGTAAATTCGCGTCTTCAGAGGTTATTTTTCCAAAATTTATTTTTCATTTTTGTTTGAATCTTCCCATTGATGATCAGGACTGCAGTTGATCAGTTTATTATTGACATATATGTAACCTCTGTCGACAACTCAGTGGAACGAGATGGTGTTCAAAGCAAACGGTGGACGGGATGGAAATCAACTGTAGGATGCAGGTAGACACAGCTGACGAGCCTCAAACAGAATGAGACGCGTGCCTTGGATACCACTGCTAGCCGCCATCCGTTTTCGTCCTTTTACTCTGTTCATAAAAAGAGTACAGACCAAATGTCTCATAATATGCTTTCATTTCACCATACGATTATTCTCAAAGCCTCTTTACTGGCGGTTTTAAACGATAGCAGGAAGGAAAACATTCTCTTATCAATACCGACATTTCTTTTTACATCAACCCATTATGGGTTGTGGAAAGATCTGAAGAGAGCTGGAACAATCAGTTTACCTTACTATTTTATTTCCTACGATCGAACTGAATATTGATATTAACCAATTCTGACCAAATAACATTCAATTTTAAAGACTACTGTACTATCCAGTTACTTTCGTAGTAAATAAATGAATGAATACTACCTTTACTAATAACTAAAATGTTATTAGTTAAATAGAAAAAAACACAGCTAATTCCACACTGTCAATGTCGTTTATCATTAATGGCTTTTAAAGCTGTGTTATATTCAATTAGTAACTAATAAATCGTACATAACCTATATTTGATGACTGATATCTCATTATAAGCTTTACAGTTATTTCGAAATGAGGTACATTTATTTGAATAGTTTCTTCAAAAAAACTGTTTACATCTGATAATGTTATAATTAACTCATATAATAACGATGTATCTAAAAAGTGAACCATGTATTCGTCAAAACTAGTCAGTTATGAATTACTTGTCATAGAAAACTTGTAAGTTTTTGATTTATGATTTATGAAATAATGATTTACGAGAAAAGTACAAACAGTGGATTAATTTATGTGACTATGTGGTACTACTTACTACTAAAAAGTAGTGTATAGTTTATCTACCAATATTGTCGCCCACCGTGTATAAGTTACATTAAAAGCTGTAAGATTTCATCTCCACTGTAACAAATTCTAGTCTTGGCACAGAATGAGTACAGTTTGAAAAGACATTCTATTTCACGACTAAAATATTAGTGTAGAGAACATATTGTTCTTCGAATACTTGAATATCAGTTCCATCATTTCATAGAACTCGGTTGTAGGACACAATTCAACCGATTGTGATTATCTAAAGTATAGATATATTTTGGTGTGCAAACACAAGAGTAAACTGAACTGGCTTTGTTAAGAAAATTCTGTGTAATATACTCAAGTTTTAAGCAGAATTGTTCAACTTATTAAATTTTTAAAATCGTAATACTGCTTTCGCCGCAGGTAACTATTATCGTTCACTTCTTAAAGAGGGGTTATAGAGGTGTATATTAAAGACATAGATAGTAATCTTATGCTTCAATATCCCCATGTGTTCAATGAATAAATTATAACGTTCATAAAGTTTTTCATAATTATATATTCGAGAAGCTGAATTTCAATACTCAAAAATATTTGTCCCATCAAATTTTTAGTGATAAATTTATAATCATTTGGTTATTACTAGGGTACCTTGAAGCACATTGTATGAGGATAAGAAATTTAATTTTACTAAGAAGTAGTGAGCATTATCAATAAATGTCATTCAAAAGTCCTGCCGGATTAAAACACATCTATGAATGATGATTGTTATATTCGATAAATTCACTTCAAATTCTACAGTTATAGATCCAAATGAATGATCGACATACCAAGTTTTAGGCAAGCCCATCTTTCGAAGTTATATGTATGAGAATCTCAGCACGGATACAGAAGGCTCGACTAGCTTTTACCAACTTGCGTCATTTATGGCGTAGGCGAGATATCCGTCTATCAACCAAAGGACGGGTTTACTGCGCAGCAGTTCGTCCCGTCCTACTTTATGGCAGTGAAACATGGCCGGTAAGAGTAGAGGATATTCGTAGGTTACTAGTATTTGATCATAAGTGTCCTCGAAATGTTGCTCGTATATCCTGGGACCATCGAGTAAGTAACGCAGTTGTTAGGAAACGGATACTAGGTAAGGATGGCAAGTCGATTGATGAAGTGATGAAACTTCATCAGTTGTGATGGCTGGGACACGTGTTACATTTGCCCAACGACCGACTGCCTCGACGTGTGATGTTCAGTGGTATAGGAGTAGGTTGGAAGAGAGCTGGGGGCGGCCAGACCAAAACATGGCACAAGTTTATGCAGTCACTGACAAGTGGACTGAGTGATCCATGTTGGTAGGTGTAGACTAACTGGTTGAGAAACGCGAGATGATAGCAACCGATTGTTAGAGACCCTGAATGACATGACTCAAAATCGTTTGCAATGGCGCAAGTGCATCCACTCTTTGTGTTCTCCCAAATTTTCATCTCCTGGTTCCTCGTTGTCTCTTTTTTCTCGTCCCAAATTTATTTCACTGGATTATACTCTCTAAATAAAATCTCCAAACCCTAATCTTCCCGATTACTGCTTATACTCTTCCTACATCTACCACAACGGGATTCGAATCGACCACTGCATCTCTGTGCTAATGTGGTATGGCAACTCGAACTGATGTACGTACGTACGAAGTTCTACGTTGTTACTGACTGACTGATATATGAGAATAAAGAATTATTTCAAAATGAAATAAAATTTTGATATAAATAAAAATGGAAATCATTAGACGAAAATATTTTTCATTTCAGTCTAATTGTTAATGATGTAATAATTAGATTGGAATGTTAATTAAAACAAATTTATATACTCATTGAAGTTATAAGATGAATAATCTGAAAGAATACAGATAATATATAGAGTGAGAGAAATATTCATATGATTACAAACCAGATTACATATTTGATCTTAGACCACGTAGTGTATGAAGTGATTCGAATTCAGTAGGAAATAATAAAATTTGTTAAGTACTGACCAAATTATCCGTATGTCAAGAAAATGACCAATGATAATCACAGCAATACAAAGAACCGTCAATAGTAATAATAATAATAACTATAATAATAGTAACAAGATTTGAGGTACAACAAGACAAAAGTGAATAATACATGTGCATTAGTTAGAATAAGTCATCCTACAATTCGTTTTGTATTGGTTGTTTGAATCTTCCCATTGATACTTAAGACTGCAATTGATCAGTCTCTCATTGTCATATGTGTACTCTGTGCGGATTACCTCTATATTGACTTACGTCACAAGCATTGTAAGCAAAGATGGATGATGGCTAGCAGTGGAATCCAGGACACACTTTTCGTCCTATTTGGAACTTACTAGCTTGCGCAATGGGTGATCATCTGGACTCAATAGCTAAACGGATAACGTGATGGTATTTAAAGCAAATGTTACCGGATCGGAATCCCGGAGTGAACATTAACTCTGGGATTCAGGTACATCCAGTTTCAAGTAGGACAAAAAGTGCGTCCGGGATTCCACTGCTATTTACCATCCATCTTTCTAATCTCTTATTAGGCGTTATGCTGGTCGTGGTAAAAGAAGCGTCTGAACTTACTACTTCTGTGCACAAAGCTGGAGTTTTTCCAACGTTAATATCAACTGCTTTCAGTAGTATTGCATTTTATGAGCTAAATAGTTCTACCGTAAAGATTCTGTTATTATCGGTACACAATGCAGACAAAAATGTGCTATTCGAATTTCTCTATATACGAATAAAAGATTAATTTGTTAACCTTGAATTCGATTTAAAAACCTGAGCAACTGTAAATTCAAAAGCATCGTGAACCATATTAAGCTGATCGAACCTTTAACCACATTTGAAACTACTCAGAAAAGTATCTAATAACTGTTTATTAAAAGAACGGCTACTCACGAAGTTCAACAACAGTCATGAAATAAAATGTAGAAATCAGAGAAAGGATTATCCTAACATATGTGAAAGACAAACTGCAGATTGCAACCGGATTGTTGGAGTTGATTATAATAAGACAGCAAAATTACTTCAGCCTCTCTTATGCAAACTAAAACATGGAATGACAGAAAAGTGAAAGCCAAACGTCACTTAGACAATAAACTCCACCATGTGCGATAAACAGCATATTCCTCTTGATCTTCATTTGGTTGAATAAAAATTAGTTGTCAGACGCAACGATGTATCTCCACTTATATCAATGCATGTAGTTAGTCGTGGACAAATGCTCAACTGGTAAGATTTTTGGATCGTAGACAGAGGTAACATAAAGAACGTCGAGGGGTTTCTAGACATTTAGGACCTAAGTGAATCAGCAATCAATAAATATCTAAATTGATTTAATTTATCAACCAGTTAGTAAAATCAAGAACAATTATAGGGATGAAAGTTGGATCAAAATGGTAGGCAGTCAAATTAAGTATGCAGCTAAAGTACAATTTCCAACAGTAACCAGTTATTAGAATTAAACTGTTAGTCATACATGAAAAGATTTGATTATCTGACTCTTCTATGAAGTTTGTGCTGATGATTTTATCTAGAAAAACAATGGAAATCTAACGGTTAAACCGCTTAGCTTCGAGAACGCAGATCTAATCAAATCATCTTCCAGAGTTACAAATTCTATTCACCATTTCAGAATAGTTATCACTTCTTTTTATTCAATGAACTTTTAGCCTGATTGATATTGACAGACTTAGTTTAACTAATATTTTATTTTAAAAACTATGTTTTACTTATAAGCTATGAATGAATTCAAAGGAGGTATTTGAGTTTTAACTTGACCATTCTTTTAGATTAATAATTTAGATGTATAACTGTAAAGTTTGATGAGATGATATTCTTCTTTAATCCAACAGTATTCACATAGTGTTTGTTATTTATCAAATTACATGTATGATTTTCAAATATATATATATATATATATATATATATATATATATATATATATTTGAAACCAATACAATTGTTTAGAAACTACAATGCAGTTGAAGTATCTACGTATAGTCAACTTAATCTCTACATGTTTTAAATGATGAGCTTTTTAAACTTACGTGCAAATAATAAGAGTAATTTCTTTAAACGTTTTTACAGTATCCTTTTTTCCAGTATTGAAATATAAGATTTAACTTAACTTATTAAATTCCAACTTATAAACATAATGAGAAAGTTTATTGAGATTACTTAATATTATGAATGATTTTCACCATGAAATAACTTCAGGCAGTGATACTTTGGAAACCATGAAAACAGTGAACTAATTTTCTATCCTAATGTGAAACTTCACAGAAATAATTACGAACAAGTAGTCAAGGAACGAATCTAGAATCTTCTATTCACTAATCTTCTAATCCATAAACAATATTATTTTCGAATGAACCTATATAAATTCAAATATGGAAGACAGTTTTTTGTATCCAACCATTTTAAATGAAAAAGAGAATTAAGATAGACAAAACACCTTTTATTACTTTCAATGGTTAAGATCATGAGTCAGTTGAAGCTAGACCACCATGGAAAACCTGGAAGCACTGGACGGCCGTTTCGTCCCATTGTGGAACTCCTCAGTAATGCGCATCCATGACCTCACCCCCTGCGAGATTCCAACTTAGGACCTACTGGCTTTCCACGCGAGCACTTAACCATTAGACCACCGAGCCGGCCGGCATCCAACGGTGTTAATGTCTAACTTTAACTAATCCATGAAATTGAGCGACATATTCACCACTGTCTTCAGTGAGTTACTACCTCACAACAGACCTGGTTGAACTCCACTGGTCACTACTTCTCACTAGAACTCCAGGATATACCTCGTGAAGCCAGTCACTAGTGAGCATATCAACTGACTCATGATCTTAACCATTGAAATTACTACAATCTTCACAAAACCCATTTGATATTAATCTTTTATTACTATTTATCCCTCAACATGTAAGCGTTTTTGTTTGTTTGTATATAAACACATATTGATTAACTAGAAGAAATAAGACGTTTTCTATTCGGAGGGATTTAATTAATGTAAATGTTTACCACAATATTTATTTATTTATTAATCAATTATTGATTAAATAAATTGACTGATGAGTAACTTTAATGGATGAAAAATGATTCACTCTTTTGTAATATTTTTTTTAAAAAAAGATCAGAAAATCGATAAAATCGATAAAATCAAAGATATAGAATACAATGATGATAATTATTATAAGCAAATCAATTTAGTTAATTAAGCAGATGAAAAGAGATCAAAACTAACCAAATAAAATAAAATAAGTAAATAAAAAGAATCCACAATTATGTATCATAACAAAACAAAATGGACAATGTAACAACATAGATGAAAAAAAAACAAACAAAACAAAACAACAACAACGACAACGACAACAACACAAGACAATAACAAAAACAAACAAAGAGAAAGAATCTAACATTAATGTTCTTTCTTTTATTTTTCTCGCTTTCATTCCATTTTTCATTTAGATAAGTTATAACTAATGATTGATAAATTTACTAATTTGAAATTTCATTGTATTATATCAGCTAATTTATTTGTATCCAAATTTTATGAAACGGAACATTTACTATCACGTTTTAATTTTAAATATTCTGGATCGTATATATGATTGCCTTCACCTAAATAACGCATTTTATAATCTTTAGTACGTTGTTCAACTACTGATATTGGTAAACTATAAGCCATTACTTTACGTTTACCATGTATAAGTACCTGAAAAAACAAAAACAAAATTATTAGATATCTATATAAGGTATTATAGAAAATGATTATTTTTATGGGTAAAATAAGAAAATTCAGTGAGACTATAATTTAAACATGATCTTTGAGCAATGTTAATATGATCTTGAATATACTGACCTACCTATTAGGGTTAAATGAAAATTACAGTTGATAGTTAAGGTTAGGAATTCGACTTAATATTTTCATCACGGAGTGATATAAGCTAAAATGCTAAAACTATATTTAGCTAAGTGAATGAATGAATTTCGAGACGAAATCCAAGACCTGTTATCCTAAATCGGATTGGTTTGTCCACTGAAAATTCTGGTTAACTATTAATTAATAAAACATAATAACGGGCTTTGTAATGACATTCATTTTAGTATATATGTAGCGATTTCAGTAAAAATATTACATTATTTCACTTGAAATGCATTTATAAATAGCAAATGTTAATACAGAGGAATGAGTGAATCAACACTCTTTAAGTACTTATCAGCTGAACATTTTATTTTGCATTTTTACATGGGAAGTTTTAACCCTAAATTAGACACTTATTATAACGGGAAGACTAGTGAAGTTAAAACTTTCGGAACTATTTTTCGGATTGTAACCATTCATATTTCTGTGGTATAATTCGTAGATAACTGTATTATCGTATTTCCATATTTATCTTATTATCAGCTTCCAGTACACCTAGTACACACTGCTATATGTCTTACTATTCTTTATTTATTGCCAATTAATTATGTATTGTTTGCTTCATCCTCTACCAATTATTGCAAGGTTATGTTCAAGGTATGATTTCTTACTTTGTGTACTTTTTGGTCAACCAATTCATTTATACTACTGTAGGCGTTTTGAATAAATGTGAGAACTAATCTGTTTTCCAACTCCATTTTCAAACTGGCTATCGTGTTAAAAGAAGTTCAAGAAGCAATAAGCGTTAAGTCCCTGTTTGTGTCTAATTAATCGGTGTGAAAATTCGTGAAATGGGAAGTTGCTAGTCCCAGTTGCTGTATAGGTGGATTATTAGATAATCGGAACTCTCATTGTATAATATATCACATGATATCGATTAGAATCTCAAGCTATAACCATACCACAGATGATTTTAATCATATTTTTAAGTTCCAATACATATTAAAAACCTAACATAAACTAAATTCATGGTTTAATTAGGGTAGATTTAGCTAATGATAATCAGTTGATGCCATTTACAAAATAATACCAAAGCAATTATTAAAATGTTGAACAAACTAGATCAAATGTTTACCATTGTTCAGCTGATAAAAATAATCAGAAATTAGCATAAAAATAGAAACAATATAAAGACAGAAAGGAATCAGTTAGGATAACCAGTATAGATTGTCTAATTGTAAGAAAATGAATATTCACTGTCTGATTCATTTAGTGGTAGCTTAAATCAAAACAAATAGCAACGATAATAGCATATAATATCAATTTTCTTGCCAGCTAATCTTATCAGATGTAAGTAATATGAGTGTCTTTCGTCAATAATCTAATATCAGTATGACGATTTGTGGAAATTGTAGAATTTTCGCAATTAAAATTATGAGTCGATTTAAGGTCGACCACAATTGGAAACTTTCAGGCAATGGACGGCCATTCCATTATAGTATGGGACTAACCTGCAGTACACATCCACAATTCCACATTCACAACTCAAACTTGGAGCCTTCAGTCTCGCACACGAACTCCTAAATTCTGGATCACCTGGATTTTAAGTGAGAATCCGTGATCAGTGAAGTCCAAACGCGTCACTTGTCAGACTGTTATCGACCTCAAACAACGGATGAAGGGTTTTGCAAGATCATGGGTTGATTGGATGCCAACTCAGTGGTCTAGAGGTTAAGTGTTCTCAAGCGAGACCGACGATTCCGGGTTTTAGTCCTGCGTATGGAATTGTGGATGTGCACTGCAATAAAGTCCCATACTGGAGCAAAACGGCCTTCCAGTGCTTCCAGATTCCCAATGATGGTCTAGTTTGGCCCAACTCGTGACTTCAACTGTGAAAATAATCTAGTAGTAAAACAATCCATTATTTTCAAAATGGTTTAACGAGTGTTTTAAATATTTTTTTCCAGATTTCTATAGCCCCTAAACTACTTAACCTAACAAAGTGATGTTACAAAAGCAGTTGGTTATCTGGGGTCTGCATCTTATTGGATAAGGCAAAGGCTTTCTAAACAAAAATGTGTCGGCTTCAAATCTCAGAGTGAACATCACTTCTGCTGACGATTCCCAAATGGGACGAAATGCATATCCTGAATTTCATTACCAACTATATTCTAAAAATTCTATATAAAAGCGATATTAAGTTAAAATGATACACATTTCTAATCGTTTTATTTATTATTTCGTTTACCAATTTACCTAAACATATCTAACCAGTAAAGATTATTTTCTTAAAGTAACATGGTAAAACATAATAATTATTTTTATTTTTCCTGGGAGAAATGAAATTAAACAGTTCAGTTTTCTGTGCATGAGTATGCTATTTTTGAAGTGATTACGAGTTCACCTAGTCTGCGAACGGAACAAAGACTCTGTGATCAAAACCAATAAGCTAGCTATTCTGATACGTTCCAGCCCCACTAACTAGAGAGAAGCGTTCAAATTCGAAACGGGGAAATATATTCAGCAAGCAGCTAGAAGCACGTGCAATCCCGACCCATCTAGTCGGGAATACACTCATTTATATATTGGTTTGTACACCCATAATTCATATAAGAATGTCGTATGTTATACAGAATAAAATGTCATAGGGGAAAACGAAACCGAATACTATACCGAGTGATCATCAAATTGAATTAAACAGAGTAAATCAATCTAATTTTGAATTCTTATCATGGTCATAACTGAGTTAGTTAACTAGACATCTATGAGTTATATTTAGAAATAACTAACAAAGGGTGATAAACTAAGTAAAAGTATGACATTATAGTCAAATGACTTGATTGCTTTCAATTAACCTACCCTAATATAATAAGTTATCTTCAGTGATTCTAAGCAGCTTTGTGGAACTGAATTGATTGGAACATTTAAGGTTAAATGACAACCGGCTTTACGGGCATCTCTAGGTAAATCTTTAAATGAATCACAATGTAACGTTCTTTGTGATTGTTCTGTTGAGTTTAAAGATTCACATGATACACGAAAATCACGATAATGACTTGGTAAATGTTGTGAATTAGAAAATAATCGTCCACTTTCAGTTTCAGCTGCTTCAGAGAATGGTAATGGTAGATTTTCAGTAAAAGTAGTTTTTTCTGTACGTCCATCAATAAAAACATTAGGAGGATACTTTTTCAATTTATATAATGCTTTTGTATCAGAAACTTTTAATCCAGGTATATGAAATATACGAAGTAAATAAGCTTCAGCATAACGTATACCAACTGGTTCATCCGTAAATATATAAATATTAATATCATCAGCCTCTTGAAAGATTATATTTTCAATCTGAAAACGATAATCAAAATGTAAAATCGTATTTTGTTAAAATTAATCAACCAGAAAAAAGTCAAATGTTCAATGAACATAGTTTAATAGCTATTTGTAAGCAATGATGGATAATGTCTAGCAGTGGAATTCAGGACGCGCGTTTCGTCCTATTTGGGACTCGTCAGCTGGATGTACCTGTATCTCAGAGTTGATGTTCACTCTTGGACTCGAACTCAGTACCATTCGCTTCAAACGCCATCGCGTTATCCACTCAGCTACTGAGCCCTGACGAGTCCCAAATAGGACGAAACGCGCGTCCTGGATTCCACTGCTAGCCACTATCCATCATTGCTTACAAATAGCTTGTGAATTAAGGTAATATCGAGGCATACGCACAGTATGCACACATGCAAATAACAGACTGACCAATTGCAGTTTTAAACCTCAATGGGAAGATACAAGCCAAACAATACCAAGTGAATAATTTAATAGCTTTTAAAATACTCTTATGGAAGCTGAATAGACTGCTAAAGTTTTTGACCATAATTTTAGGAGACAGATGAATTTAGGAGCTGATATAAGCTGGACCATCAGTGAAAACATGGAAGCACTAGACGAACATTACAAGTATGAGACTCTTCTGCAGTGCGCTGTTCAGTGATTTTAGAGTTTCAATAATGATCCAACTTAGATCAATTCGTGTATTCAACTGTTAAAATACTACATCCTTCACAAATCCCCATACTGATAATTTTAGAAAAATCAAATTTCATATATTGATAACAACTATATTGTATAATTCAAATTTTGATATTTTCTTAAATGATCAATCAACTTTTTTAAAGAAAAGTGAATGCTTTTGTAAAATCTTATTCCCTATATCTCAATTTTTTGAAGTTTATATATTAAGCTTGTGAATTAACACATACTCTTATGTACTTATTTGAAAGTTGTTGTCATAGCAACTTAGAAAATTTACTGTAATATACTAAATTTATAGAATGATATTAGGAAATATTAGAAAAGTGATCACATTATCAAAAGGAATACAAACTAGTTATTAGTTCCCTTAAAGTATTATGTAAAACTGATTCATTTTAGTAAAAATAAAATAACTAAGAGCATTCAAACTATTTTAAGATATTCATGTGCATAAATTATACTTAATTGAAGTGTTTTGTAGAAAAACGTATTGGAAAATCAACGTTATTACAGATATTGACATACTTATACATATTAGGGTGATTAAAGATGTATCATGATGTTGTATCATATATGTTATATGAAATATAACTAAACTAGAGGGGAAACACTGAACTTGTAATTCAATGTTATTACATTCTATTTGTCCTGGATAGTTTGTTTATAATGTTTTCATTATATATATTGTATCATATTAACAAAATCTAATTCAAATAAATAACAAAAGAAATGTTATATCATCTCTGTCAAATTCTATTCATTGAATTCATTATAAAAGAATAATAGTTAGATAGGATAATGAGGTTGATATTCAAGAATTTTGATAGATTTAATCCATTAAATATCTTTTACGGTATATAATTGACTTGAATTATCAATATGATTTTGGATAAACTTGTAGCCTACTCGAATATTTAGGTGACCTGTTACTATCATCTAGATAATTCAATAAGTTATCTGTTTTTGTTTAACACATCACTATTGTCTCATAATCGCATAACTTATTCAAGTGTGTTTGTGTACAAGTTATAAAAAAGTACAATCAATGACATTGTGGTTTCTGACAATCTGCATTGAAAAGGATGAACATTATTCAGATATCGATTCCTGATCTGTTAATATCTAACTAATGATCACTTATTATTTATCGTCAGGATCGATTAAGAAATAAGAAAAAGGAACTTTTCGATATACTTTATGCTGATATTTCTATATTGTACCAAAAATATAATGCTTAAAAAAACCATTAATAAAATAATACTAAATAAATTTAAATTTATAGTTAGTAGTATTCACTAAAGTAACATTTAATAAACCATCATTATCTTAGAAATGATGATTTGGTTGAGAATTTTGCAAAAATATCATAGATAATCACATTATTTCAATTATTGTAAATAACAGAAGGACCGATAGGTCCTGGGTTCGAATCCTGAAGGGCAGGACCGTGGATGCGCACTGCTGAGAAGTCCTACAATAGAACGAAACGGCTTTCCAGTCCTTCCAGGTTTTCTATGATGGTTTAGCTCCTATTGACCCATGGTCTCGACTATTAGATCATAAATAAGTGGAAAAAGTTTTATTTGATAAGGAATTTATTGAATAATAATAATAATGGAAGGAACTATGTTTAAAAATTATACCTGTATTAACATTTGTCTATTTTCCATTGTAAATGTTTTCATGATAGCTGGTATTCGTCCACCATTAGGAAGTGTATAATTTGGTGGACCACAACTAAGAACTTTGACATTTAAATTATCTGTACTGATTGTTGCTGAATTATTTTCATTTGGTCGACTCAGTCTGATTGTTCCATAGATATAATATCTATTGTAAAAAAAAATTAATGAAAGAATAACAGTAAACAGTAAAGGCGAAATTCTATAAAATCTCAAAAATTAACATATTGTGAATTAGAACATACATAAGCGAACGATATTGTTTTTAATTAGTGTTGGAGAGACCCGGAATATCCCTCCAGAAAGGCTCGAAAGGACCTTGAAAACTCTTGGGAATATTTTGTCTAATTAGCATTGATTAGAAGTTTCTCAGAAACATTTAGAAAATGGAGAGTCAGGTGACTTATTTCTGACCGAATGATTACTTATCGTGCTACTATGTTTAAAAAGGTTCTAGAACTTTCCAGAAGCTCAAAGCTATCTGAAATACTATAAATACCCTGAATTCTCTGTACATAAACTAACCTTGGATTAAAGCGTTCCTTCCATATTTCGTGCCTTTTCCATCGTGTTCAAGTTGTCGTATAGATTTAGCCTGAGGTTATTAGTAGAGCTTAGGAAGCCTATTCAAGTGTTCAGACAGACGATTTATCAGTTACATTCTCATCAAGCTTTACTCAGATATGCACTAGTATTTATATGTATATACGAAATTACTAAACCAATTCAGGTAGTTTATGAGTCAATGTTAACAGTAAAATGGATTACATAAATAAACATACTAATTGATTTCGTATATGCATATCAAGATTACTGTATATTAGAGTTAGGCCGGATGAGGATCCAACTGGAATTCCATAAGCCTGGAACATATGCTTAAGTGAAATGACGACATTTTATCTTTGAATTAACTGGATCCATCTCATTTAGTCAACTAACTTGTGTAAACTAGTGATATGGTAATTTATTCATTTAGAACATTTTTCCTTAAACTGATTATCAGTCCTTTGGTTCACTGTTTAACATGTTCGCAGTTTAATATGAAGTCCCCAAGTTTGACTTTCAATAAGAATAAATCAATCATAGAATTTAATGAATCAGTTTTTCATTGAATATTGGTCTTGAAAAGTGTTTTGGAGATTTTGGCTAAAAGCTTTCAAAATTAATAACCCAGTAACTCCAAAATTGAGCCAACCAGTCAAACTCGTTAAACAAATTGTTTTCACAATCACATTTAACTAACTTGAAATATTATGACTAAAGTTCATACAATCGATTTCATATTATAATAAAACCTCGTTTACAACTGTTTATTTGGAGACACAAAACTAAAACCTTTCCATAACTATGTAGAATTAAAACACAGCAAAATGTAACGGACCTTAATGGCAACCATTCTTAAGTGTCATTAACTGACTCTCGTCTGACTACATTTTTTCACAGCTTGATGAATAATAAAAGCTCTTCCTACCTTATCAAACCTTTACATATAGATGGTTGATGATGTAGGTCATGATAATAATGTCTAAACATTTACATAATAAATATTCACAGCCTTTAATCGTTCATTTGCATTTTTCGGTGTGTCCCACCATCTGGATTACCTCCTCGTCTGGTTTCTAAGTGTTTCATCAAGATCATGCTTTCAGTTTATTGAAACTCTTTACTCCGTCTGACAATTGTTGCAACTTTGAATCCGCTTTCTGCTGCATACTACCTACAAACAATCCTGTGAGTAGCGTCCACCACAATGGCAGTGGAGCTTAGCGATTGGATGATATTGGTTGATGAATATAACATCATCAGTTGATCGTTTTTATATTCCATACATACATGAAATTTTCTAGTAAACAGTTTATGACTAGCCTATTAGAGATCTCACTCAAACATATACAAAGGAAAATTACTAAATTTGTTCCAAATATTTATTAAATTAAATAAAACGTCATCTACGAAACTAAGAGGAGTCGTTTTGTGTGAAAAACTCAATTTCCGTAAGTTCGAAAATGGAGTTTTTATTTAAAATTTTAGCTGAATTACATAACAGCTGTTTGATATAGCAGTTCATTTTTACTAGTAACGACTCAATATTTAATAAATTAAACATACCCAATTGAAATATAATCATGACAGCTTATAAAACAGCTTCATAGTTTGATTGGGAAAAAAATTAGTCTTACCTATGAATAATTTCTACTTCATGCGTAAAACCAACTTTACCCTTTAGTAATATTGATGGATGTGCATCACTTTCCAGAGGAAATGCAAAAGGAATTGCATGATCACCTGGAGCAAGTTGGACAGGTCCAATATATGGTGAGAAACATGGATCACTAAGATCAACTTCTTTTACTGGTGACTGCATAAATTCTGGTTCTTGACAAGTAAATTTACGTATTGGCATTCTTTTACCAACTGATGGGTCATCGGACAAAACAGTATATGATATAGGTATTCGTTTCTAAAATAATAAATGTAAGAAAGTACAGTTAGGTGAGCACAAACGTTTAATCAACGCATTTTATGAGTACTTTTAAGTAAAATATATTTGAATGGACGGTAAATTGTTCGACTACTTTACATACAAGCTGCAGATGCCTGCATTATTCCATGTACTATATGCTCATATAACTTGTATATACATTTGGAGGTGTTCAGTTCGACACTGAAATGCAGTTTACTCTTATTAATGGAAATTAGCTGCTACCATGAGTGAAAATTTATGCCTGAAAACTCAGTGACATCTGATTTCGTACTCTCATAATTCAATTGAGAAGATTACTTTAGTAATATTACTCACTAATAGACAAATTTTCAGCGATAGTTTGTTCATTATTCTAACCTACATAAAACACGTCGTTATAGAATGTCTATTTATAAAAAACACACCTTATAGTACATTCAATTCAATTTGAATAGAGTCGACTTGATGAATTTCATACCATGGCTGGCTTTAATTTTATCACATAATGCGAATAGTTTACTTAGTATGCTTATCAGCGTTTCAGTAAAATGTATCGAAATCCCAATTTATATTACTTAATGTGAAACAAAATTACGATTACCAATGAAGCAAGAAATTGGGTTTTTCATACATACGTCAAGCGATATTTATTTCTGGAAATTCATTGTTTGTCGAACATCACAATACATTTCATGAAAAGGTTTGTAGCTGATCTTATGACACTTCATATGAAAGATCAGTTTTGTGAAAGGCTGCAATTGACTATAAAGAAGTGTCCGGGAAAGAACTTGACCATCCTGATGGGAGTCCTAAACTACAAAGTCGGAATCGACAACATCAGGTATAAAGATATTATGACGTGACACGGACTGAGAGAAAGGAACGCGAATGGTAAGATATTTGGAAATTTGTATGGATTCAAAAAAATGATTATAGGTGGCACAATATTCCTACGGAGATCCAAGTAGATCATATTTTTATCAATAAAAAATTCAGAAGACAATCGAAGACATGGGAACTAGAAGACAAATTGATGTAGCTTCAGGTCATCAACTGGTTGTGGCCAAGATCAAACTGAGGATAAAGAAACACTGGACAGCTGGGAAAACAGCAGTACAAATTTTCAATACGGCCTTCCTACGAGATACTAGCAATCTCAACCAATTCAAAATAGCTCTCAACATCAGGTTCCAAGCCTTACAGGACTTACTGAAAGAAGGAAAAACTACTATGAAGAACAACCAGAAGGGGGTCATAGAAGCACCGACTTCGACAAGACAAGAGGTTCTAGGTCGCAAAAAGCATCATCATAAAGGACGAGTCTCTATGGAATCCATGTTTTGGGTTCAAGTGAGGAAGAACAAGAAGACAGCAATTAATAATAGCCAAACAAAAGCGGAGAAAGTCAAGGCAAAAGCTGAATACACAGAAACAAACAAGCAGATGAAGCAGAGCATTAGAGCTCACAAGCAAAAATACATGGAAGACCTGGCAACGACAGCGGAAATAGTTGCAAAAGAAGGAAATATTGGACAACCAGGGAAATATAGTAAGCCAGAGCTACTTATCAAGAACAAAGAAGGTAAACCGATCACTGAAGTTCTAGAACAGGAGAGCAGGTGGATAGGAGACTAAATATTTCTTGAGTCCACTGGACTCACTAAACACACACAGACCTTCCTATCGTTGTCACCTCACAAAAGGTCGAAGAAATCAGGATGGTCATCAATCAAGAACGGGAAAACAGCAGAACCAGACAACATGTCAACTGAAGCACTGAAGTCAGACAACTAGGTAAAGCAAGGATTTCTCACATCCTATTCAGGAAGATTTGGGATGAGGAATGAGTGCCGACAGGCTGGAAATACGGATATCTCTTCAAGATACCATTGAAAGGAGATCTCAGTAAGTCTGAGTACTGCAAGGATATCGCACTCCTATCGGTACTAGAAAACGTTTTCAATGGAGTGTTGTTGAACTAGATGAAAGATTTACTTTGCGATCAGTCGTGCACAAACCGATTCGCGATACTATGGATCATCGTTGAACAGTCAGTTGAATGAGACTTATCACTATACATCAAACTTTTTGATTGTGGGAAAGCATGGATAGGATGAACTTATGGATTCTTGTTTAATAATATGGTGTACCTGAGAAGTTCGTTAGCATCGTATGAAATCCACAAGACGAACGACAGTGCAAAGTCGTGCTTAGATGAAAGCTGAGAGTTGCATTCAAAATGAGGACCGGAGTCATGCAAGGCTACTTACTCTCTTCCTTTTCCTTTCTTCTGGCGGTTGACTGGATTATGAAGATCTCGAAATATCAAGGGGAACATCAAGAACCTAGGACAGCTTACACGCAGCCAGATGATTCGAACTCCGCAGATCATCTAGCTGTCCTACCACATACACACCAACAAATGAAGGTCAAGACAGCCAGTGTAGCAGCAGCAACCTCTGCGTCGGTAGGTCTCAACATACACGAGGGAAAAAGCAAGGTCATGAAATACAACACAGGAAGGTAATTATGAACAATTTTTTACTCAAGATACTCAATGTCCGTTGACCGGAAACCATTAGCAACAGCCTACTTTGGGAGAGGATAAACCAGCTTCCATCTGAAGATGAAATTAGGAAACGACGATGAAGGTGGGTGGGACATACATTGAGGAAATCATCAAACTGTATCATGAAGCGAGCGCTAACGTGGAATCTTAAAGGGAAACTGAAGAGTGGAAGATCAAAGAATATATTATATCGGGAATTGGAAGCAAACGTGAAAAGGATGAATAGCAACTGGAAAGAACTTGGAAAGATTGTCCAGTACAAAGTTGAATGGAGAATGCTGGTGGTTGGCCTATGCTACTTCGTGAGAGGTAACAGGCGTAAGTAGGTAAGCAATAGTTCGAATCACTTCATACACTACATGGTCTTTGACCAAGTTTGTGAGAATTTGTAATCATATTACCATTTCTCTCACCATATATAATCTATATTCATTCAGATTATTCATCTTATAACTTTACTGAGTAAATAAATTTGTTTATTTAACATTCCAAGCTAACGATTTTTGCATAAACATTTCATTTTAGAAACAACCCTGAATTTATATTGAAACGTACATACTAAGTGATTTCTGTGTATTATTTTTATCCTGATTATTGCACTCAGAATTGTTGAGTAAGTTGGGTTTAGATGATATATCAGATAATTGAGTAATAGTTCTATTTCATTCTCATCTTTTATATTTATCCTTATTTATATACACTCAATTACTTGACAGTTGTTAAGTCAATATGTTACAGTGGTTACAGAACGAAAGACATTCCATATATTATGCCTAAATTCAGTGGTAAAATAAATTAAAAATGTTCGTCAGTACATTATGGTAAATGTCGTAATAACAATAGCAAATTTTACCTCCATATCTTGTTTCTCATCTGAAGATATTGTTTTTGTAATCATTTCTGTGGTAATAGTTAAAGTATTCAATTTAATTGGTTCTTTAAGACATATATAAACAACACCACGTAGTGCACCACCTGGAACTACAGCTGAATCGAATATACGAATAATAACACGTTCCACAGAATCATTAAGTTCACCAAATTGATTAGATAATGTTGCAAGCTTTTGTTCAGGTATATCACTTAGATCAGGTTTTCTAATTATAAAATAGTCATCAAACATATATGGTTCTGTAGGCGCTGATAGAGTTACAGGTGCAATGCTCGTTTTCACTATCGATAAAAGAACAATATATGATAAGAAAAATATATAAATAGTTCATTATTAGTTGTAAAAATGATAAATCGATTGAAACCTGTCTAATTTCGATACATTCAGTAACGTATAAACTTTAAACGATCTTAAATTATTAAAAAAATTATGTATAGTTGGACTATTGGAAGATATTTTAGTGGCCCCTCGGAATCTTACTCCAATTAGGTCATAATTTAATGTCAACACGAACAAAAATAATAATTCCACGTTAGGTGATAATATAGCACTAATGTGTTAATGAGACTATGATAATTATTTGAATCATAATGGGACAATCTGTAGGAGTTGGCTTACATGCCTTCACCGCTCGTCATTTCGCTTAGCTCCTTTCTATTCTCTTCTTCAATATTTTGTCTGGATCAAAGATTGTATGAAATATACGTATTCAAAATTCATTCTCGTATTTGACTTATTTAATTTCGTTATTCACTAATGCGATTTAAGTCGATGAAATATACGAGGACATGCGACATATATATTTCGACAGCAATCATTCAGTAATGAACATTCATATTGACTTAATTGGAGTCAGATTCCAGGCCAGTAAAATATTTTTGATGAACAATTCAAATCCTGTAACTTGAAAATTTAGAATAAAACTACTTAACATTTATTATATAGTTTTTGATTTTTTGAGAAAGAAAATACAAACTTTCAACTCATTAGCCTGGTATACTTTCAACCCAAATTTTAAGTTCTTATGAAGATTTAAACCAAGTAAACTTCACTTCAAACATTTTATAGCAACTCACGCGCATTGAGTTGGTTCACATTTAATTCGGTGAAGTCATTTTGTTAACTTATCAACGAACTGAGTCATCCGTACAACAACAACTTATCTATATCATTGTATCTTCATTATTGTTGCGAATGTATGAACATGTATGCTTGAGCATTGCTTACTGCCTACGCATTTATTCACTCTGCTAGCCTTACTACTAACCGCTTAATTGATTCGATGATTCATTCATTTCACCTGGCGGCCTGCTTGAATATCTGGGCTACCTGTTTCTGCCATCTGATTATTTCAACAAGTTATCTGTTTTTTATTTGTTTTAATTTATAATTATGTCTATTAATCGCATAACCTATTCAGGCGCTTTTATGAAAAGCCTACGACCTTTCGCTGCACAAGTTACGAAAAAGTACTATAAAAGGCATCGTGGTGGTTGGCAATATTCGTCAAAGAGAATGAACATTAATCGTATGCCAATTCTCGAGCTGCTTAATTCTAACTGCCGATCATTAATCAACAAAGTGGACTATCTGCAATTCCTACTTAGTCAAAATACGTATCGTAATTATGGTGTCATCACAATTCAAGAATCTTGGTTGAATGATTTACAGGATGACTGCCTTGTATCACTACGTGATTTTAAAATTTATCGTCAGGATCGATCGAACAATAAAAAGAGGTGTGGTGGCGGTGTAGCTACGTTTGTAAACATAAACTGGTGTCGATCGTCGTTTGTGTGTTTTAAGTTTTCAAATGACTTTATCGACTGTCTAACTCTAAGATGTCGTCCAAAACATCTAAATAAATACAAATATGTTTATGTTACCAATATCTACGTGACTCCAGATTGCACATCATCTGCACTATCTGTTTTTGCTGATGAATTCACTGAGTTCGCTCTTACTGCCTTCAGTGATTCACTTTCAGTTGTATGTGGTGACTTCAATTCATGTGACTGTAGCTTCCTTACGTCACTAGGTCACCAAAATGTAGTGGATTTTCCTACCCGTTTGGATGCTTATCTAGACTTCGTCTTCATTAATGATGTGGGTATATATGCGACTCGTAAACGTGCTCCATTATCTAGCTCAGATCACTGTATAATTCGTGTTCTACCTACAGTATATGGAAAGCATGAGAAGAGTACACTCTTACGTCAAACCAAGAAAGTCAAATATAGGAATTACTCAGAAGAAAATATCCGAAATCTGAAGCGCATGTTTCATACGACTCACTCGAAAACACTACTGATGTTATCACTTGTTACCTTAAATTCTGTTTTAATATTTGCTGTCCCACTGAAACCATTTTTGTAAGTTTTGATCGATTTACATCTACACAACTAAAACGACTACGAAGGATGAAAGAAAGAATGTACAAGGAGAAGAACTCTAATGAAGTTCGTAAGCTAAATGGTCTGATAAACCTAGAGATTAAACGTCTCAACTCTATGTTTACTCAAAAGCTCTTATCTTGCAAAAACTCTCCAAGTATGTGGAAACTCTTTAAAGAACTTACAGGTGACAGACAGTTTAGAAGCGATAACCAGCTGAATGTTTGTGACTTAAATAATTCTTTTGTTCGTCAGTCATCTGATGTGATGCTCCCTCTATCCACGGGTTTAAAAAATAGCTGTGTTCCTACTTTCACTAAAACTGATGTACGAGGATGTCTCCGGTCGCTTGATTCATCTCGATGTTTGGGACCTGATGATATCCCAAACATCCTTTTTAAAAAATGTGCTGACGTTCTGTGTCATCCGTTCACAACTATATTTAACAGATCCTTCTCATCTAATCTCATACCGAAAATGTGGAGAAAGATGAAGATAATTCCTGTACCCAAGAAAGCATCTGGTGATAAGAATGTAAAATTTAGACCTATTGCAATAACTTCACCCTTCCTCAAAACCATGGAAAAATTATTAATACTTCCACTTCAGCTTGCGATAAAAGAGCATACTGACCCATACCAGTTTGCATACAGGCGCAAAAGAAGCACTTTAGATGCTGTTGCAGTTCTGCACCACAACATAGTGTTCAACTTAGAAAAGAGTAAGAAGTATGTTCGTTGTGCTTTTCTGAACTATACTTCAGCTTTTGACTCTATACCAAGACAACGTTTACTTAACAAGTTAATCAGCGTCAACACTGACAGCTGGATAACCAACTGGCTATGTTCCTACCTCTCTGGAAGGGAACAGTACACTGTGTTTGGAGGAAAATGTTCGGAGTCTCTACTGTCTCAGGAAGGTGTACCACAAGGAGCTGTTCTTTCACCTCTTCTATTTTCTTTTTTATGCATGACCTGCCATCTTCCACAGAAAACACTTTTGTGAAGTATGCGGATGATCTCACTGTATGTATGCCTATATCTTCCTCTTTACATCCCATAGAAATGAATGAGTTTTTGTCTCGTATTGATTGTTGGTCTGTTGGTAATGGTCTCATACTTAATCCGTCTAAATGTCAAGCTGTTAACTTTAGCATGAGACATGAACGGAATATAAACACTTTTTTGAGATCCCATAATGCTTGTGCCATGGGAGACTCTTTGATAAACTCAGTGTCGAAGGTCAATTATCTTGGTGTCACCTTTTCCTCTGATCTGTCTTGGTCTTCCCACGTTTTATCGTTATCAAAGAAGGTTTTCCGTCTGACCTACTACATAAAGAGATTGCATGCTCTTGGGATTACTCGTCATTTACTTTTACAATTTGTCAATTCTTGCATTTTACCTATTATTCTTTACTGTTCTCCATTATTCTTTCCCGGGCTTTTGAGAAAAGACTTTGCTGTATTGCGAAGAGTGCTGAAGGCAGTTAGCAAGATGTGTGGTGAATCTTTCGAGGCCATAATTAATATGGTTGTGGATAGACATTTAAAATCATGCAAACTGCTGGCAGGTGTTATTTGATCAGATACTAGCCATCCCCTTCACTCTTATCTTTCTCCTCGTATATCTTCTGTTAGAACGAGACGTAATTACATTAAAATCCATGCACGTAAGGAAAAGTATAAAAGTTCTATAATACCTTACCTAGCAAATATACTCTGTGACGAACAGGTTATTAGAGTTAACCTAGTCAATAACTTACATTCTTAACATGTCTTTAATTTTAAAAAGTTTGCACAGGTTTTTTTGTTTTTTTTTAATTTTTTTTAAAAAAAAACTTTTTATTTCTTTATGTATTTGCTACTGCCTTTTTGTTCGTTTTTCAGTAAGTAACTTGTTGAAATACACTGTGCTGAGAATTCTATATTGTACCAAAATATAATATTGAATAAAGCCATTAATAATAATAATAATAATAATAATAATATATATATATATGTCCATGTTATTCATGTTTATTGCTCTCTCTCGCCTACTCGTACTCATATTCGCTGACTCATTTGCTCGCTCGCTTGCCTGCTTGCCTTTCGGCACAACTCTTTCATGCTTGTTTGACGCACCTGTAATTTTGGATATCTGTATGTGTGGTCCCATAATAAACATAATCAACACTTCGTATTCATCTTCTGATTAATATACCGTTGAGGCGTTATCTAGTGACGGTTATCTAATATTTGATTGGATAAGGTACATTTATCACCATTCAGGATTGTTATTTAACTCATTTTAGTTTTAGCTATGTGCTTAAGAAGATAAAATGCATCTAATGCACCTTAGAATTATTACAGAATTATTTTCACACCGAAACAAATTAAAGTAAAATCTAAATAAAGTTTTAACAAATTTGATATATGTGCCTGGTCCTACGTTGTAGCTGACTGACTGACTCATATGAAATTTAGAAGAAAATAGTCATCAGTTAATAACTTGATGAATAATATAATATAATAGTTTTAAAAGTTTCACTTACCTGGTGATATTTCTTCATGGTCATTATGTGCCATAATATCCCTTCTCAATTTCGATGGTTTAGCATAGACTAACTGTATATGCTGTCTATTACTCACTTTTGGTGAATTTGTCATGCTGTGATTTTTATATGACTACAATAAAGTTTTCAGAAAATTGTAACAATGTACATTGATTATGTAATAAACAGTTTTTTTAAACAAAAAAATGTCAGATGGGTTTTGTGGAGATTGTAGTAATTTCAATGGTTAAGATCATGACTCAGTTGAAGCTAGACCACCATGGAAAACCTGGAAGCACCGGACGGTCGTTTCGTCCTGGGTTCGAGTTTCTCGTGGTACGGGATCGTGGATGTGCACTGCTGAGGAGTCCCACAATAGGACATAACGGCCGTCCAGTGCTTCCAGGTTTGCCATGGTGGTCTAGCTTCAACTGACTCATGATCTCAACCATCGAAAAGAGATTTAAAAAAAAATTAATTATGAAATTTAAAATGTCTAACTCATGAAATCACTATGTTTATTCACGCTACCAAAGTTACAGATTGTAAAAATGAAACAAATTATTGATAAAGGATACTTACAGATATGGTCGAATCATCTGAATCATTAGACATTTCTACTCAATAGAAGTTTGTGTTTATACTGAGTTAAAATTACTGAGTGAAAATAGAATAATTTATAGTTTAGAAGAAAATTTCTAAGACCAATAAAGATTGGTTACTATGTAATAGATTAACCATTTATAAAATAGTTCAAAGACAAATTATTTCTGAACTATATTGTCATATTTCATAAACACATAAGTCTAACCAACAAAAAGAAAATACTTTGACCTTGTACTTAAACAATAACAGTTGAAGGTATGAATTCCTTCATATTTTTTTTTCTACATTGTGTAGGCGTGATTGTTTATTGTACTGATCACTGTCCAACGAAATCACATCTTTGAGTATAATGTCTGAGTTCATTATCATCATTATTATTCTGAAACTTGACTTCTATATTATTTCCTTTATCTTTTTTAAAACTTTTAATCAAATAAATACTCTTAAATTTTCGTGCAGTTTGTACAATATTTAATAATATTTCTTTCACTCTACTAGTTTCTGGGTTAATTAAATAAATTTTAACTAAATAACAAGCATAAAACAAACACAAATGAAAACCATACAGAATTGAAAGTGTAGTTTTTAGTATAGATAGAAGAATTTAAATAAGAAAGTTGTATACCTTATGATGGTGTAATAAATCATTATACCGACAGTTTTAGTGATAATAATAATTGAAATATGAGTAAAAAAGGATGGAGAGAGTAAATTGAAAATGTTAGCGCTCTTTAAGAGTGATAAAGTCGAAAGATACCATGTTATCAGGATAACTAAACATGAACAGCAGTTTCCGTTATACTCTAAATAATGGTCTGGAATTGCTTCATAGTTAATAGTTCCAGGAAATCGGAATACGACTCAAGGTATTCTTGCTGTATGAACAAAATATTTACAGTACTCACAGATGAAAAAATTCTGTACTTCTTCACCTTCTTCGTCTTAGAATCTTAATTATCTAATTACTTATATAATTTGTTACGTAATTAAAGTAACTTTTAGTGATTATTATTTTAAGATCTGTTGATCAAAGTTTGTCCTACCTCACGTGCTGTGTTATTTTCTTGTTTTTATTACTATTAGTAGTACACATGTTTTCTTACCAACAATTTGTACTTTTTACCTAATATGTGTAGTTATACAATCTAATTCATTATGATGATTGACTCATAAACTGCTTTGATGGGTTTAATATTCTCATATATCCATATTCATGTGCATTAAAGTCTGATGACTATCTAACAGAAAATAATACTTAGCAGTATAGGATTGTGGAAATTGTTGAGTTTTTATTGATAACACGAACCGATCAATGTTTGACCACTACTGAATACCTGGAAGCAGTGGACGACCGTTTCGTTCTACTACGGTACTCATTCATGATCGACAGAGGTCATACACTTCTTAATAGACTTGTCAATAATGATGAATAGCTTGAGTAAAATGAATCATAATTAGAAATACGTAATATTGTTCATTTAAATGCGTTGTTCTAATATTCTAGCTGGATTTAGCTGATGACTGACTACTGAGTTTTTATTATTTTCAATGTGTTGTTTTAATGAAAACAAGGAATCGTATTTGAAATATCCATACAAGTATATCCAAATTTGAAACCCAGGACGCTCATTTTACATGATAAAAATGGTATCATCAATTTGATTGCATGGAATTTGAAGAATCTCATTTTTCCGACTTCATTTAAGTCTTTTGACTACTTACAGATTTAGTCAGTCAACTTTTAAGTTGAAACATAACAGGATTTATTTCAAATTCTTGAATTATCTAAATACTACAAAGAAATATATTGAACCTTTAACAAACCAACTAGAGTTTCTGAAAAGTACTAATAAGAAAAATTTACAATTGATGATTTACATCCAGTATAATGATATTTATTAATTCTATTTTAGTAAAATAGAACTCTAATATATATGCTTCCATGTTTTTATTGGTTGTTTAACTTGAATAGATTCATGATTTCAATAAATTAGCACAATCTTTATAACCGCATACTGATATGATATATAGTTGGATATAAGTATTTTTAATTAATCCAGGCAAGTAACAGGTTTAAACAAACAAAATAGCAATTTACTTACATGCATTAAACTTTCAGTAAATCGTGGATAAATCTCTTTGTAATTATTAGTCACATCTTCTGCATGAACAATAACAATATTAGAAGACTTTAAATATTTATCTTGTTTCATCTGAAACACACAAAAAAAAGGTGATTTTAAGTATTGAACAGGGTAGTAAATTAAAACTTAAAAGAAGTAAAAACACATGTGTTGTTAAAAATTTTCAAATTTAGCTGCAAATAAACTCTCGTTTAATGTTAACACCGTCGGATGCCAGATTAGTGGTCTAGAGGTCCTTTTGAAATTATCTGGCAGTTTACCGATCCTCGTCAAGATCAAGGACAACCATCGCTCACCAATCAATTGTATGCCATGGAATGACTCATGCAGTTGTGATCGCAGACTGTTCCTTGTACTTACTCTTACTAATGTATTTCTGTAATAATGTGATTTGTGTTATACGGTCATCACAGTGTCCATAGCACATGGATACGACGAAAGGTTCATCCACGTTACTAACCATGAGGTATAACTTGGACATTAGCTAGTTGATCACGCCATTCTCATCCAACTCAAGTAGGCCCTCAATCATTCGACAGAGATCATCTATGCTGGTGATCTACAGATTCCTAGTGAAATAGAATAGCTTACTTAAAAAGTAACTCCTTAAATCAGACTTTGTTTTGATGATTAATGTCAACAAAAATCAAAATGTTCATTTGAGAGTTACTTTGCTTCTGTTCTTCATTAAAAAAATCCTGTAGATGAATGCAAAGTATTTATCGGATAAAACAAAGTGCCTTCATTTACTAGCTAGGGAAATCAGTGAGGAAGATGGACATTGGTTCATTTTTAAATTCCTTCAATATGAATACAAAAGGTTATTTAGGGCGTCAGGAGCTTTTGTAGCTTCCTAGTTAGCGCAACTTTTCTTGTTTTATTGCTGACCAACTTCCTATAGCCTGATGCTAGTTAGGTGGTACCATTGTAATGTCATAAAGGGACACAGGTTAATCTTATTAGGAAATTATCAGTTCTTTAAAAAAAAGCATTCTAGATTAGTCTTATTAAAATGGGTATGAACTAAGGTAAACTGTCGATTCAGGGAATCTCACAAATAGCTTGCAACCATTTAAAATCAAACAACCTGTGAGAGGAACATTTGTAAAGTGGGAAGTGACATCCAATGAATCATTTTCTTACCATTTACATTGATATTTCCGATTGAGTCGAAAAAGTCAAAGGAATCAAGGGAGTTGTATCTATTGATGTGCTTTTTAACGGGTTTTAACCATTTAGTAATCAGGTGACACGGAGAGTTGTTCATATCAAGTATAGGACTTAGAGGGACATACTTCCTATGAACTATTGGGACTCCATATAATTTCAGTATTATGAAATACGATGCTCTTAGTTGTTTATAGAATTTGCAACTGATAATAGACACATTCTTCATTTTCCTTAGGATTTTAGTTAACATCCACTCCATTTTGTCAGTTGCAGCTTTTGGCTTATTTGGAGAACTTGACAGCATCCGATAATGTAGGGTAGAATTTAACATCATAGTCGCGTCGATCCAAAAGTACAATTCCCACATCCTTACCCTGGAGACACAGCATTAAATTCTGATTTCTCAGAAGATCAAATAACCGAGATTTATTTTCTTTTGTGAGCGGTCGTCTAGTTGCAGGGATTGTGTTTACATATTAATTACAACAGTTAACTAGAGTTGTTATTCAAATACTCATAATCTCAACTATATACGTGTGTAAGGTCACTTGTCTGAAGAATGAGGCATTCAAACTCAATTTTAGCACCGACTTTATAAAACAGTAATTAAATACATACGTTTCTAGTGTTCTCTCAAAAGAGCATGGATCTCAGTCGGTTTCGAACTTTCCAAGTCTTCTGTAGGGTTTATAGCAGCTTTGTCAATGTAATCCTTAAATCTAACACGTTCATCTTTTGATAAATCATATGAAATACGTGTTCGTAATGAAATATTTAGTTCTATTTCTGATATTCCTGACTTGATTTCATCAATATAATTCAAGGGGAGACATTTCAAATAACGATTATTTGGATGGATCTGGGTTCGACATAATGTTTTGAAAACTGGTCTCAGATAATCATGTTTGTCTACACAACTTTGCAGAAAATCGACTCTGACATTTGCTATAACAAGCTTGACAGAAGAACTAAGAGACACATTGTAATTCTTTGGATAATTAAAATCCATTGTGTCATTGAGTAGAAATGAATAGAATTGAGGGAAAAAACTTCTTTTGAAACGAAAAGATTTAATTAAGCTGTGTAATAGTACTTAAAGCTGTTTGGTTAACCGTAAACAGTTATAAATATCATCCTTTCTCAAGTTTATTATTATGAGCTTTATGTTTTTCATTGTTCTTCACAACTGTCAAGCGGTCAATTATCTTTCATAATTCTGATCCGTAAATTATTTCCATCCTCCTATTCTTCTCTAACCTACTAATTGTTACGCAACCTCTATTGGTATTTGAAATATACATTTATGCATGAATATATTAGATGGATAAATGAGAATAACATTGAAATTAATTTTAATTCGGCTCTTTAAAAAAATATTACACAAAGTGATTTGAACAATAATTTAGACTTACTTTATGTTGATTATTAATCTTATCTTCGTTTGATGACATCTGAAATGTTCTAAACTTGCTAGGAGATATTACACTACTTCTCATCATACTGGGTGAATCATCAATTGCACTAGTTTCTGCAGTGGGTGTTGCATTCCTTGATGAAAATGGATTATTCTGAGTAATACTACTATTATTCATTCCCTAGATAAAATCATCATATAGATTAGATAAATCTAAATGAGAATATTAATTTTGCATATATATTTTTATATTACATTTCAAAACTTTGGCAACTTACTTAACTGTATCATTATTTGACCCTTTCTATTACTTATAGTATCATTTTTTCGTCTCTTTTCAAGTATATGCACCGTCGTTGAATTATCTGAATACCTCTTATTATACCATTTTATAATTCTTAATGAATGTTATTTCAGGGTCTATTTTTTTAAAGTCGATGACATACTTTTTATTGATTGATTCAAACCTTTATCAACTCCACCTGTAGCTCTTATAGGGTTACTGCCGGTCCCAAGCCCGGGTAAAGGAGGAGGGTTGGGCATGGGGTTAGCGTCCCCATCCCGTAGAAAACTAACTTGCTAAAAAAACGCAACCCATAACGCGACCAGTACATTTATTGTAACACTAACAATTTGTACTTTTTACTCATTTAAAAAAAAAAAAATTTATGTAATCTATTTCACTGTTAGCACTGATGCATCAACTGTCATGATTTGTTTAATATGTCCATATTTGTATATTGATATTCTTGTATATTAGAGTAAAGCTTAATAAGGATCTAATTAAAAACAATATTATTCACCTAAATATGTTGTTCTAATTTGGTTTTATTTATAGTTTCATTTGTTTAAACTGATCAATTTCAATTTATCTACTTCTTAATTATGATTAACTTGTGTGTTTAGTTATTTCAATCCATCTTGAACTCAAATATCTTTGGTCATTATTTTTATTGTTCTTAAATCTTTTTTTTCTGTATATGATATTCGTTTGGAACATTTTCTTTTCAATAACATTGACTTTAACCTGGATCTTTGATCCGTTATAGCGGTATATATTTATTTCTTAAAACATAACTTATAGAAGCATTCATAGTTTTAATGTTGAATTATTATTATTATTTATAATTAGCATCTGATTAGAATTTGAATGAATCTATGTTATTTTGTTTAAATACTTTTTTTCTTACTCTCTTCAAAATAATATAGGAGACTATGTGTATGAAATGATAATCTTTGTTAAATCCACTTGTAAGACTGTAGTCAAATAGTGTTTGTAGTTAAACCACATAATTGTAGATTTTTTGATTGAGATCATGAACCAGTTGATGTTAGACCAACACCTTTGGAAACCTGGAAGCACTGAACGGCTGTTTCGTCCCATTGTGGGACTTCTCAGCAGTGCGCATCCACGATTCTGCTCGTGGGATTTGAACTCAGGGCCTTCAGTCTCGCGCGCGAACGCTTAATCAACTGGACCACTGAGCCGGCATACAATGGTGATAGTGTCTACACGCACTGCTGAGGAGTCCCACAATAGGATGAAACGGCCGTCCAGTGCTTCCAGGTTTCCAAAGATGGTGGTCTAATCGATTCATGATCTCAATCAAAGAAATTAATAATCTCCACAAGCCCTATGCTAATAAATGTAGATGTTAGACTTTTCATTGTTCTTTAAATAATACTTACATATTTAGATAATTAGAATTAGAATTGATTATATTTGGTATATTGCTAATGTTACTGCTAAATAATTTAACTATTGGGTTGAAAGTTCTTTTAATATGATACTTTTACTAGTAAAAATGAAAAAATGGCAACAAACACATCCAATTACATTTTTGTAATGTATATAAGTGTAATTTCTATATTATAGTTGGAAACCATTAGTTATAGCTTCGTAATAAAATCTCTATTTGGCACAGTATTTACTATGATGTCATTTATGTGATGAATAAAATCAATAAAGTAAATGTAGGAATTGTCCATAAGTTTATAATTTTCCAATATGTTCTAAGCCATATCAACAAGTTATGAGGGCAAATGACATCAATCTTTTTTTTAAAAATCACATAGATAACTAATATGTTTAAAGCTACTATCATGTTTTTGAATAGACCAGTAGTTCACAAGAGAGAATATATTACTTTTCAATTTCATTAATATAATAAAAACTTAGAAAAATGCAAATTTACATAGGTTGAATGTTTAATGATATTATATTGATTAGTTTAAGAGAGACGGATAGTGTGTACACTGATGCCATTGTGATCGATTTTCAGCCATGTCACCCACAGTCTCCAACCATTCGTCACTACAGTCACGCGGACCCCAACCAAGTAGTTTGCATCTACCAACATGGTTCAGACTAGAGGTTATTGACTTCAAGGACTGGTTCTATATTATGATTAGGCTGCCCCTAACTTTCTCCCAACTGTCTCCAACACTAGTCAGCATTGCGCGTCGTGGTAATTGGACATCTGTGATCAAATAGTAGCAAATTGCGACTATCCTCACTCTCTTTTTTGCTACGTTTCGCAGCCGTATATTGGAATAACACGAACTGCCGCGCAGTATACTCTTTCCTTAGTTGATAGACGGACACCTCGTCTTCGCCATAGGTGACGTACGTTGGCAAAAGCCAAATGAGCTTTCTGAATCCGTGCAGAGATTTCGTCAAACACCAACCCATTATTGTGTCGTTTATCCGTAGCTGCTGTAGTTCTTTTCTACAATAAGTTACTATAAATATCACGCACTCTGGCTTAACGTTTCATAGACAATTTCAACCGTGTCTGTTGTGAGGCAGTAACTCACTGGAGACGGTGGTGGACGGTCGAGCATTATCGTGGATTGGTTGACGTTAGGCATTAACATCGTTGGATGCCGGATCAGTGGTTTAGTGGTTAAGCGCTCACGTGCGAGACTTATGGGTACTGGGTTTGAAACTCGCTAGGCGGGATCGTGGATATACAGTGTCAAGGAGTCCCACGATAGGACGAAACGGGCGTCTAGTGCTTCCAGGTTTTCCATGGTGGTCTAGATTTAATTGAATCATGAATTCAACTGTTGAATTTTATTAATAAGTTGGTCAATAAGTTTAATATACATATTTCCTTTGAAGTCAAAGTAAAAATAATTAATAATCATTTTAATATCAGAAAAATGAGCGATACTTCTATTTTGAAGACTATGTTAATTGGCAGTGGAATCATGAAGATTAATTCCATGTATTCACTTCAACCGGACAGTAATATATTTACCAGTTATAAATTTAAAGAGACGTAAACGTGTGTGATATGATTCTCTTTATACAAATAATTAATTTAAGTAAGCACAAATGTATGAAAAACCTACGATAAGAAAAACGGGAGTAAAACCAGAAAGCATAGAAGTCTAAATATTTTGGCTACAATTTTAAGAAATGCCTTGTTTTTGTTGAGTTTATGATATGAAATCGAAGAATAATTGCCAAAATATATGATAACATTATAAATCATTTAGATAACACTATAGTTACCAAGATATTTTTCAGTTTTTCCCAAATTGGGATTCTTTAGTAGGAAGAAATACTTATTATGATGTTGTTTTGTTGGGACTAACAATGAAAATAAAGAATTTAAGTTTCTGTTAAAAAAGCCCCATTTAGATTACAATATTTCGCCTTGTTTAATGCAATAGGCACAAATTCCTTAATTATGTTGTTATGCTAGGTTGTAGCTGAATATCTCAAATGTATTCTACACTTGTCATTGTTGTACAATGACATTCTTTGACAGATAACTACTAGTTGGACCAAAGGATACTGACAATATTATCATCGAAAACATGAAGTTGACTTTTTCTCATAAATAAAAACTGATAATAAACATGCATAAATATTGTATGTAGTATGAGTTGCCAGGGATATGCAAAATTTGCTAAAAGTATACTCAGATGTACAAGCTGCTATTTTACTCATGGAATTTCTATCACTACAAATCGGTTTCCTTTAAAGATAGTGTCAGGCAGTACATCCGCAATGTGCGCTACACCAACCGATTGATTACTAGCAGCCATTAATATTTGTCGTCTAGTTTTCAGATTGAGTCTACCATTACAAACTAGGTATGTAATATGGTCACTGAATTAAATAACACTCACTCAGCAGGACATTTTATGTTAGTTTTTATTTTGCTTAAGTTCCATACACAAGGCAAGCCTGATATTCTGTGCAACCACTTGGATCCATTTGAAATGATTTGAAACTGTTGATTTCAAAAGAAGTGATTAAACTTACTAATTTCTAGTCATTATCAGTGAATGTTAAGCGAAAACTTTAAGTGACGTTAAACTTTATGATTACATGGCCGGGTTAAATTAAGTTTTTGAATTCATATATAGTCTACTTTAGCTTTACGGATTGATTACTTAATTTGTAATCACCATTAAGTTGTAGTGTAGATTAAAGCAAAGAATAAAAACGAATTTCAAATGAATTTAACTAATTTAGAATCAGACATGATAAAGTCAAACATTATAGTTCAAGTGAATTTCGCTGTATTATAACAACTTAAGTCACATTTTTATAACACATGGATTGTGGTTAGCAGTGAAGCTAAAGACTGGTGTTTTTCCCCTTTAGGACTTTTTGTCTAGCTTATTGTATTCCGATGTTGGCCGAAACTTGAGTCCAGCGCCTTTCTCTCAAAATCATCGACTCGTTATCTGATAATTGAGTCCAGATTGCCACCCACTCGTTCAAAAGGCATAACGTCCACAATGTTATTGGTATGGGTTTGAATTATTCCGTTACTGATATTCAAGAGTGAACTGTGATTAGTCTTTGTCTGTATTTATAAAGTCGTGAGCAGATTATCCTGATATTGCGTCGGCGTTTGAAGCGAAGTTTAACCGATTCGATTCTCTGTGTAAACATCAACGGTGTAAGTACATCAGGTTGTAGAGTTCCGAATGGGGAGAAAGTTTCATCTTGGATTTCACTGCTAAGAGCGGTTCAACTACTCTAAAAGTGTGAAACGAAATAGCTATACCAAGGTGATCTTATAGCGATGTATAAATACCACCAAAGTTTGTTCATTATTTGGTCATATTTATTGTGTCAATTATACCAGAAAGTATAATGATTTTCTAATAACCTATGATTCATGTGCAAAATATATCTATGTGAAATATATGACGTGAAATAGGTTGGTAATGTTATATCGTGATCAGTGAACACACAAGGTTGATAGAAACTTATAATACTAAACTAAATCAGATTTAAAGTCTGTTGATTTAGCATTTTCGGAGTTTATTAATGGGCTAAGGTAATGGTAGATGATAGGCAAAACACTCCGAGACTAGGTTTCGTGCTAGCTAAGGCGCATCTACACTTATGAGTCACTGAGTAGAAACCATTGCAACCTTGCATACTCCTCAGTAAATATCATATCTTACAGTGAGTATCAGGTTCCTGGAGGCCGCTAACAAGTGGTAACTACTATGAACTTAGAGACCAAGGCTTCCGTAATATATTGACGCAAATGGACATTGTAGTTCTAGGTCAAATAGTTTACTTACAATACTGTAACCTGATCAGTAGATTTCAATCAATACAATAGAGTAGATAGTTTAACATTGTGCACTACTTAGTGATTAATTAATGTAAATTATATGATATTTACAAAACAATTTTTTTCTTATTTAGATATTCAAGTCAATTAAAAATTTGAGAATTTACCTAAGATAGACTTAGTTTAAAATTCTGAGTTAATAATAAGATACTGATTTCTTAATATGCATATATATATGTGAGTCAGCCACAACTTAGGACTAGGCACATATATACATCGATACAAGTTGCCATACCTCATTAGCACAATAAGATTAACACCAAATTCATAAATGTTGTCACTTCAGTGATAGTAATATATAAGAGAAATATTGCATATAAGGATATAATACAGGAAGAAAGAATTAGTTGATAGAAAGGAATATATGAAGCGAATTCAATCTCATAGTTTGAGAGAGATGGAGAGTGTATACGCTGATGCCATTGTGATCGATTTTCAGCTATGTCACCCACAATCTCCAACCATTCGTTCCGACATTCACGCAGACCCCAACCAAGTAGTTTGCATCTACCAACATGGTTCAGACTAGAAGTTATTGACTTCAAGGACTGGTTTTATATTATGATTAGGCTGCCCCTAACTTTCTCCCAACTGTCTCCAACACTAGTCAGCATTGGGCGTCGTGGTAATCGGTTTTCAGGCATATGTAATACGTGGCCCAACCATCTCAGTCGATGTTGATTTACAACCCCATCAGCTGATTTACCATCGTTCCCTAATACCCTTCGTCTAACCTCACTATTACTTGCCTGATGATCCCAGCAGATGCAAGCAATATTTCTAAGACTTATGTGGTTAAATACTTCTAAGAAGTAACCTGTTTATGTTTCCGTATAACAAAGAAATATAATGATATTAAAAACAAAAGTCATTGAACAGTGATCTAAGGTTTCTATTATTAAATAACTCAAAAATTCAGAATTCATTTTTATTTGTTTGTATTGTTATTAACTGATTATACATATAAACTGTTGAAAATAAAAGATCTATATGTCATACACCTAGTTTATACATTTAGTCTATTTAAAATGCAATTACAAGAATAAATAACATGTATATATATGCGTAATATATAACTTACATCAGCAGAAACTTCAAAAGAATTCCCTGTAATAACAGATGAATTTGTTATATTCATAACTGTCGGTGTTTTATGATTTATTTTTGGTGTAGATGAAGCAATTGCAACAGGACTAATATTTCTATTTATAGATGGTGATTCAGACTGTTTACCAAATTGTGTATCATTTTCAATTTTTTCATCCTATAAAAGGTCAATAAAATAATTTAATGTATATAATTAAATTCCAAGTGAATATTGAAAATTAAAAACGGTGTTATATTATATAATAAATAGTCAACTATATGTAGAAGGTTCAGTTGATATTATTTACTTGAATCTTCACATTGATGTTTAGGACTTCAATTGATCTGTCTCATATTGGCATATATGCATCCTGTGCGTATTGTCTCAATATTGCCTTAATTCACAAGCATTATAACTAAAGATGGATAGTCGCTAGTAGTGGAATCAAGGATACGTGTCCCGTTCTATTTGGGACTCGTCAGCTGCATGTGCCTGTATTTCAGAGTTTATGTCCACTTTGGGACTTGAACCCTAGTACCGTTCGCTTCAAATGCCATCGCGTTATTCACTTAGTTACTGAGTCCCGATAGACACTTACTTGTGAAACAGAGCGTTTAAGAAGTGAATGGTACTGGATTCGAGTCCCAGAGTGAATATGAACTCTGAGATGCATGTACATCCAGCGCGTCCTGGATTCCACTGCTTACCACTATCCATCTTTACTTTTATGTAATACCATTTAGATATCTATTACTCGTAATAATAATAATCATGCATTATTAATTAAGTGTAATACAATAATATTAAAGGAAAAACTTACAGTCGAATATTTCTATTAGATATAAATAATTTCACAACTTTTTATTCTGTTAATAGGGATATGTGTAATGTTTGTTCATTTAGAACATGTTTCATGTTTATATCGATAAATGAAAATGGAATAATTATCTACTATATTGTGTGTCATCATTACTTTACAGATTATTAGGATTATAAAAGTATGTCATTGGTTTTTAATCACAAGATATTGAAATACTATATAGTGTATAAAAGAATCATGTGAATTATTATTGAATTAATTATAATATAATTTTGGATTGAATCACAGCCAAATGAGAAGAAGAAGAATAATAAGAGGGGAGTTTTGTCTTTAAATATCGTTGTCGATTTATAATAAATAAATTTATGTGTCGATTTAAGCTAGACCATCATTGAAAATCTGGAAGCACTGGATGGCCTTTTCTTCTTAGTATGAGATTTCTAAGCAGTACACATCTATGATGCCACATGTGGAATGAATTCAACTATTATAAATTATTACAATATCCATACACTCTTATTCTAATAACAAATGGATTTTAGTTAGATTAGAGGTAAATTATTAGCTATGAACTCTTGTTTTTAGCACGAAACGTGTAATAAAAACTAAATCATCAAGTTTTAATGGAGGCTATTGTAGTTATTTTAGTTGTTTTCTTCCAAGTTCCAGAGACATTTTGATTTAAAATAAACAAGAAATGAAGCGATGTTAATCATGATATGATTCCATCGACTATTATAATACACTCTATACATGAGCTTCTATAGAGCATTCCAAACAAATGAGCGATAGAAGTTCGAAATCAATAAAATTGTTATTCAATTTAAAAAGTTGAATTATGATATGGATAGACCAAAATATTCTCCACAGACATTCATCCTAGTTAGGTTCATTATTAACAAAAGTCTACTGTATGATTATATATACGGTCCACTACAAATTAATCCATCTGTATTATTTTGATTGATATGCGAACCTTAACTCAAAATAACTACATGTCTCTTTTGGGTTAACAGGGAAATGATTAAATATCTAATTTGACTCTTCGTATCTGCTATATCCTTCTTACATCAGGTTATAATCAATTTAAATTTCATATGATTTGAATACTGATATTGTTGGGAGATAACAGAAGGGAATCTGAAAATCATTTAAAATGTACTAGTATTTTAGTTCAATAATGAACCACTGTTTCGTTTTATACTTTATTTGCTTTCGCTGCATTCAATTACGTTTTTCTCTTTTCTTGAAGACCAATGAGCAGATTTTCTGGTGTTAAACATTTAGGTTAACATAGTTAACGTTATAGCTTGAAGTCGTTTCTATAGTTCTCTTCTCATTTGTTAGTCACAAAGAGTCTGCTTGAATCTCTTAGTTTTTCTGAAAGCATATTGACATACACTAGAGCTGGCTTTATAGTAAGCTGACCATTATCATGTAAAAAGTCTTCTAACTACATGGAGTCCCTATTTAATCTTTCATTGTTATCTTTGTATTGACATTGAATTGCTGTGATATTTTCTACTTTTATCAAAAACGAATATGTAAATATGACCTTAATAGAGAACAATTAGTATAGAGAAATATGTTTCAGAAGGAATAACAGTGATCCATTGATATTCTTCAAATCTCATTGTTCCCATTTAAATACAAATGATCTAGTCTCACGAATGGTTAATCGTGGTTCAACTAATAACAATTCTAATTGTCACCATAAATAACATAACTTCAATTCTTAGGAACAAAGTTAATTGTTTCAGACATACACATTAAGAAAAGTATGTGATATATATATATATATATATATATATGCATTTCTATAATCAGTCTTCATTAGTTATGCATATTGTTTATCATCAATAGTACTATTTATTCTATACACGTTCACAGACAAGTAAAACTGAATCTATCAATAAACAAAAACTTCATTTTGTTATTAACAATATAATCTTTCATTAGTTTATGATCAAATATTTTGATCAATTAAAAACATTCATAATTATTGGAGTCATTTGTTCCAAATCAATAAAAATCAATGAATTATCTTATTGATTTTTCATTACTAAAATATTTCAATAACTATTAGAAGAAAAAGAAATCTATATATTCGATAGGTTTGTTGTTTGATTATATTTTCCTTGATAAAGCTTGGACTAGATTGCCAGGCGAAACGTTGAAATTACTTCAAATTCTTTTGCTGAGATTTTACAACTACATTCTTCCTCTTTAATGACTCATATTAACTCGGCGCCTAAATATTGTGAAACTATTCGTTCAAATTTAGACGAAAGTTCTTATTTATGAAATCTGTTTCTATATTCCGTATTTTTTTTGTTTCTACTGTGTAAATACTCCATATGATTATTACTAAGATATACTATTTTTTTAAAATGATTTATTATATGCATCATTTTACTAGTGATCAACTCAAGCTTATTATGATATTGGTTAGAATATTCATTCATAATTATCAGTATCTTTATACTAATCATTGTTTTGTTTATGTTCATCTTGATTATATTAATCAAAATGATAGATTTTCGTCAAACAATGATATCATTTGGTGAACTATTGGGCGGGGACGTCTGAGGAGTCCCACAATAGGACGGAACGGCCGTCCAGTGCTTCCAGGTTTTCCATGGTAGTCTAGCTTCAACTGACTCATGATCCCAACTGTTGAAATTACTACAATCTCCACAAAACCCCTTCTGATACCAAATATATAATTGTTGAATTAAAAATGATAGTTATTGTATTTTGGTTCAATGAACATAAGTTATGGTTGAACATTGTTGAAAATCTCTAAATAATAATCGAACTAATTTTAAATTTGATAATAAAAGTTATATCACTTAGTGATATGGTAATTAAACTTAGAATATATCAGTTTCATTGATCAACTTTGTCTTCCTACAAATGAAAATCAAGTTAAACGTTTAAAGTACTCTATTCCCGACCGTTGTTGCTACCTTGACGTGGTGGTCGGGCTTGCCTATCGTCATGAAGCAACCGAGCTATACTGGCTGGAACAACCGTTCCTCAAGGTCCTACCATGTCAGACAGGTCGGTTGAAGAGCGGTAAGACTAAAAGCAACAAACCTAAGGTCCGAAGGCGAAGTCGTACTGCTGACTGTACAGAGGTGTGACAGCAGTAAGGTATTTCCTTCAGACAACCAGCATGACAGCAATGCTGCCTTCCCACAAGGAGGGGTGGGGTTAGAAAAGGTCGACCCTAAAAATGCACACCTCGCCTTACCTCACAGATTTCCGTCTCCGGCGGTAAGGCTCTTTGAAGAACGGAGCTAACACGTCAAAAACCTTCCACAAAAAGGCCGTGCGCGACCGGCCTCAAGCAGTTGTCCCTTGGGCACTGCGGTCACGCTCTCAGGTCGCTGAGATCGCCTCTAATCCAATTTCCTTTTCAGGTACCTCCAGAACAACCCTTCCACGGTGTGGGCAACCGGGGAGTGATAACCGCCCTCATACCTCTAACAGCACCCAAGACCACTGTATTCATGATCAACCTTCCTCTTCAATTCCTATTATTCCTCCTACATCGACTTTCAACCCTAAACGTCCTCCTTCGGCTTCTTCCTCAAGTGTCACCATAGCCAATGATTCTAGTGCTCAAAACTCTGTCCCAGGTCTACTGAAACCTTACTCCAAACTACACATTGGAGCTTTCAACGTACGCACTCTATGTCAAATCGGTCAGCAGGCTTCCTTGGCTAAAACCCTAGATTCTCTTTCCATCGATGTATGCTGTGTCTCCGAAACACGCATACAGGATTCCAGTGTGATCATTCACTTGACCTCACCTCGGCAAGACGGAGAGCCAACGAGATACACCCTACGTGTATCTAGTGACCCGATGGCCAGTTCTCGTGGACTGGCAGGTGTAGGCATAGCACTAAGCATGAGGGCGGAACAAGCACTGCTAGAGTGGATCCCCATCAACAGTCGTCTATGTGCTGTTCGGCTAAACGGCTCCGTAAGAACTCGGAAGGATAGGGACACACGTCGTTGCCTTTTTGTCGTTTCTGCCTACGCTCCCACTGACTGCAGCTCAGATGAAGTGAAGGATGAATTTTACAGAAAGCTTTCTGAACTTCTTCAGAAAGCTAAACGCTCAGACATAGTACTCGTAGGGGGTGACTTTAATGCTCAGATAGGTAGCTTAAACCAAACAGAAAGGCATTTAGGTGGATATTTTAGCGTTCCGGCACAGCGAACAGATAATGGTGATCGTCTGCTGCAACTGTGCTCAGACAATCGCTTATTTTTAGCAAACACAAATTTTAAGCATAAGGAGAGACATCGTCTAACATGGCGACCCCCTACACCAAACCAACGATGGACTCAAATAGACAATATTGCCATCAGTCATCGTTGGAGAGGGTCGGTAGAAGATTGTCGCTCATTCTGGAGTACCTGCTTGGACTCCGACCACGCCCTAATACGGGCACGCATCTGCTTGCGCCTCACCGGACGCAAAAAAGCCACATTGAAAAGACCCATTAGAACTGAGTTGAGTAACGAGAAAACCAAAAATAGGTTCCAAGAACAACTGAGTTCACACTTAGGTAGTTCTGAAGACGAGGCTGACCCAGATGTTGCTTGGAAAGACATACAAGCAGCTGTGGAAGCAGCAGTGACATCTATTAGCAACTTAAACCACAGAGTTTCAAAGGACCAGTGGATTTCTTCAAAGTCTATCACATTGATGGATTCTCGCAAACTCGTCCCATCAGGTTCCGAACATGATGAAGAGCGACAACAAATCAGATCTAGGTTAAGAAAAAGTCTAAGAAACGACCGTGAGCAGTGGTGGGCAACGAAAGCAAAAGATATGGAAAAGGCGGCGACTGTAGGGAACACAAGACAGCTTTACAGACTAATAAAAGAAACTGGAATTAATAAGTCAAGTGTAAGTGAGATTATATCAGAAAAAGACGATACACTCATCTGCTCCCAGTCCAGGCGTTTAGAACGATGGGCTGAACATTTCAGAGAACAGTTCAGCTGGCCTTCAGCTACTCTACAACTACCCTCCATTCCCAGAGAGCGTGAATGGAACATTGAAGTAGGTCCCCCAACTCTTGCTGAAGTTCATAAGGCTATAGATAATCTGAAACGAGGAAGGGCTGCTGGTCCAGATGGACTGGCTCCAGAAGTCTTTAAGGATGGTGGTCCAATTTTAGCGGTTAGGTTGACTAATATTTTAGCTAAGATCTGGGAGTTAGATGTTATTCCATCTGACTGGTCACAATCACTTATCGTCCCAATATATAAGAAAGGGTCAAAATCATCCTGTGACAACCACAGAGGGATTAGTTTAACTAATATAATATCTAAAATACTAGCCTCAATAATAATCAAACGCCTAACTAAAACTCGTGAACTGCAAACACGAGAAAATCAAGCTGGCTTCAGACCTGGTCGTGGCTGCATCGACCACATATTCACCATTCGTCAGGTTCTAGAACACAGGCATACTTATCGGCGTCCGACGATGGTGGTCTTTCTTGACTTAAAAGCAGCATTTGACTCGGTAGACCGCGAGATTCTGTGGCAGTGTCTGTCATTGAAAGGCGTACCCCAGAAGTACATAAACCTTATAAAGGCTCTTTACTCGAACACTACTAGTCGAGTGAGAGCTTATGGCGAACTGTCATCTAGTTTTGCAACCTCAAGTGGTGTCCGTCAGGGCTGTCTACTTTCTCCATTTCTGTTTAACTTCATTATAGACCTACTGATGGAAATAACATTCTCGTCGACTGAATTCTCGGGTATTGATCTCCTTCCAGGAGGTCCACTTATCGACTTAGAATACGCAGATGATATAGTCCTGTTTGGTGAAGACTCTGATAAAATGCAGTCTTCTAGTAGCACTAAGCTACAATGCCAGAATATTTGGAATGCGCTTCTCTCTCTCTAAATGCAAGTTGTTGCTTCAGGACTGGTCTGCCTCAACACCTGAACTAAGGATAGGGAGTGAAGTGGTCGAACGCGTCGACAACTTCACTTATCTTGGAAGTCTGATCAGCCCTAATGGGTTGGTATCGGACGAAATCTCAGCACGGATTCGAAAAGCTCGTTTGGCTTTTGCCAACTTACGTCACCTTTGGCGAAGGCGAGATATCCGTCTATCAATAAAAGGACGAGTATAGTGCGCGGCAGTCCGTTCTGTCTTACTTTACGGCAGCGAAACATGGCCTTTAAGAGTAGAAGACACTCGTAAGCTATTAGTATTTGACCACAGATGCCTTATAAATATTACTGGCGTCTGTTGGGATCACCGGGTAAGTAGTAGTGAGGTTAGACGCAGGGTATTAGGTAGAGATGGTAAATCAATTGATGAGGTTGTTAATCTTCATCGACTGAGATGGTTGGGCTACGTGTTACGTATGTCTGAACACCGATTACCACGACGTGCAATGCTATCCGGTATTGGAAATGATTGGAAGAAAGTTAGGGGCGGCCAAACCAAAACGTGGCATCAGTGCTTGAAGTCACTATCCTCTAGTCTGAGCCATGTTGGTAGACGCAGACTACTTGGTTGGGGTCCGCGTGACTATTGTAACCAATGGTTGGAGACTCTTGGAGACATGGCTCAGAATCGATCACAATGGCGTCGGTGTATACACTCTCTGTCTTCCCTTAAACTATGAGATTAAAATCGCTTCATATCTTTCTTTCTATGAAATAATTCTTTCTTCCTGTACTATATCCTTATTACAATCTTTCTTTTATATATTACCACCCCTGAATTAACTACTTTTATGAATCCGGTGTTTATCTTGTTGTGTTAATGAGGTCTGGCAACTTAGACCGATGCACATATGTGCCTGGTCCTACGTTGTAACTGACTGACTGACTGATATACTTGGGACTTGATTTCTATAGAATTATTCATTCAAATTTCAGTGATTTTCATATCGAAACATTAACATTTTTAAGGGTTTGTCAAAAAGGGTGATAGATTGAACATTAAAATTTGAGTAAACTTATAGACTGAAATATAGGATGCTTTTATGAACTTACAGAAGGTTTGAATCGTGGAAAGTGACGATAATTATTCGAATTCCAGTCACTTGAACCATTTTCTATAGAAAAAAAGAAAAAAAAGTATCTTATTGACAAAAGTATTGTATAGTATATGAGATAGAGAACCAAATGTAAATGCAAACATATTTTACATAGTGACTAAAAACATGAAGTTACATGTAGTCACAGGTTGATAATCAATATATATCCAGTATAAATCAACGATAATCTGATGTAATTACTTTAATAGTTTAATTAATGATTCAAAAGGTATCCTGAGTATTAAGCTTTAAAGTTTCAAAGAGATGTTAACGATTATGTCTTTTTATTATGAAAAAAACAGAAGAAGAATATGGCAACATTTTGAATTTGAATATAGAGTTGTTTTATCTACGAGACTAAACTTGTAACTACTGATTGTAAAATGTTAATGTATGAAGGGAAGTAGAACTAACAAATGCTATTTAGAATTCAGCAACATTATTATTTTTGGGTTATCAGCGTAATTCACAGTTTTATTAACACATCTATAAATAGTCACTAATCTCTATGCGAAAACATTCAGTAAAACAGATAAAACGAATCGCAGTTCAATCAACTGTTGAATATCTATCTTAGTGAAAGTTTTGTTTAAGTCTATTATTCTCATCCAGATCATATCCACTTCATTATTTTAAATTTCCATAGTGATATTAAATTTGACTTCTTGTTTCCTTATCCTTATCAATCTTACCATTTTCAATCTAATATTATTAGTTGTCAGTTCATTTAATTACAATTTGTAATTTTGTTATACAGCACGTGAAAAGGAAAGAAAAGTAACTAGATGTTTTTCACAATCATCTTTTAAATATTCATTATTATGGATATAAATGATTGATTGATTGAGGCCATAAATCGATTGATATTAGACCACCATTAAAGACCTGGAGGCTCCGGACGTCCGTTTCTTCCTATTGTGGAACTCCTCAGCAGCGTGCATCCACCATCCCACACCCCACGGGATTCAAACACAGAGCCTTCATTCTCGCGTGCGAACGCTTAAACTACTAGACCACTGAGCCAGCATCCAATTGCGTCAATGTCTAACCTCAACCAATTCACGAAATCGCACCACTATCTTCCATTGTACTGAGGCAGACATCTGTTTCTACCCGACACTGATCAGCTCCACTGGTCACGGCTTCTCACCAGAACTGCGAGAATTTTCTCACGAAGCTAGTCACTGATGAGCACATGGTAATTATCAGTTTAGAGGTTGTGGAGATTGTTAAGTTTTTTTCGATTGAGATCATGTACATTTATCGTACTTGAATTGGTAATACATTTTGTAAATTAATAAAACTACAATTTTATCTATTCATGTTTTAAATATTCATTAATATAGATATAAATGATTTATTGATTGAGATCATATATCGATTGATATTAGACCACCATTGAAAACCTAGAAGTACTAGACGGCCGTTTTTTGGATACACACTGCTGAGAAGTCCCACAATAGGATGAAACGGCCGTCTAATGTTTCCAAGTTTTCAATGGTAGTCTAACATCAATCAGTTCATGATCTCGATCAATAATTTAATAATCTCCACAACTTTTATACTGATAAATAATTTAATTAGAAATATTTTACACATTCCAAGACTGTTTAGTTATTCTTAGGAATCTTCTTTTTTTTCTATTTTTTTTTCTATGATAATAAAAAACTACATTGTCAATCAATAAAAGTGAAATAAAGAAAAACATCTAGAAAGAAAAAAACTAATTGATTTTTTAAAAATATTTTTTTTCTAGAAAAAGAACACAACAAAAAAAAACAACATTCCATCATGACAAGTTACCGAGGAATGTCATTTGTCAGTTTAATGTATCTTTATAATTAATATATGTGAATATATTTTTGTGTGTGTTTTTATATAGAAGAAAATTTCAGTAACGCCTAGTGCATAGAAACCAATTTTATCTACATTTGTGAGTTTTTATCGGGTTTTTTTTTACAAAAAAAATAGTAAATATTTTTTTTTGTTTGGTAAGGTTAATCTAAACTTCTTCTAGCTATGTAAATTTCTAATTATATAACTCTATCTAATCTTTAATAAGATATCAGTATGATGGTTTGTGGAAATTTAAGTAATTTAATAGTTGAATTGATGTGACTATAATTTATGGATGAGTCAGTCGAAAGCGTTTGAAGGATTTCAAGATCATAGTGCCAATTTCAGTACATGATACTTAAGTACGATTAATTCATAGCGGATTTTGAAAGTTGAGCAGCTACAACAAATGGGACAACTGGGAAATCCTTTGTTTGTGATTGTGGTAATCAAATGACTTGTAGACTTTGTGCAGATTCCAGTGATGATGTTGTCTTTCAATGTAATATATGTTGGAGGAAAAAGTTTGCTAGAATAGGATTTTATTCTCGATCTAAATTCAGACTAAAGTAAATTATGATAATTGTTGCGAATTGGATAATAAAAGCACAAGTAACACTGTCTGCAGCCGGCTACTACAATATATACGAATGATTGGAGAGCGTTCAGATGCCTACATAGACTTGGTTATGTGCATCGTATGGTTACCCACAAGTGTCATTTTGTGGAACCAACAACTGGGGTGCAAACAAACAATTTTGAAGCTATATGGTTGAGGCTGAAAGAGGTTTAGTGACTTTATCATGTCTCCAAAGGCCCACTATTATGGAGCAACATATACCATTTCTTCTACCATACGTATTACGATTTCGGAAAATCTGAACCTCTTTTTTAACCTTAACAAGTTGTTGAATCATGTAGAAAAAGTGTATCCACTATAATTCTTTGGTTTTGTATAGTATAGTTTTACCCTATACCAATTGTTTTCTGACTGGCTAATATTTCTAAAGGTCATTAAAGATTCGTTCAAAAGTAGTCCATAAATTATAGTCTCGCCGTTGAATTCATGAGTCAATTAAAGCTAGACCACCATTGAAATCTTGGAAGCAGTGGATAACCGTTTCATTCTAATATAGGACTACTCAGCAGTGCGCATCCACGAGACTCGAAATAAAAATATCACTAAAAGTTGTTATATAGAAGTAAGAAAATGAAAACTGACCAAGAAAATTCAAAAAAATAATAGAATAATATTGTAATCATTAATAAATAGTAAATAGTCAATGTAACATAAAAGACAGATGATTGAACAGTTACAGAATTAAGATAAAATATGGCAAATTGTGGAAAAATAAGTTGTGTATCATCTATAAAACGAATTGAAAACAAACAAAAAATAGGATATAAGCACAAAGAAATGGCACAATGAATAAATTCTATTAATGTAAGAAGATAACAAAATAGAATATATGATAATGACTAAGATTATGATAGAAACTGTGTTCATTTGACAATATTTTGTATACATCATTATAAACTATTTATACTTATAACAATAGATTGAATAATTTCATACAATAAGATCAATTGATAAATTTAGACTGAGCAAAAATAACAAAGTTTTCAGATCAAAATCAATTAATTAGTTTAGTTTACAGTTTCTTATCAGTTGTGTACAACCTAGAATTACAGTTAAATGTATAACTATTAATGCAGTTAGACGATCTAGACTTCGTAGATGATCTGACTTTTCTATCGGAAACACAACAACAAATGCAGGAGAAAACGACCAGTGTGGCAGCAGTGGGTATCAACATACACAAAGGGAAAAGTAAGATTCTCCGATACAACACAGCATGCAACAGTCCAATCACAATTGACAGAGAAGATCCGGAGGATGTACAAACCTGTACGTATTTGGGAAGCATCATTGATGAACATGGTGGATGTGATGCATATGTGAAGGCGCGGATCGGTAAAGCAGGAGCAGCATATTTACAACTGAGGAACGTCTGGAACTCAAAACAACTGTCAACCAACACCAAGGTCAGGATTTTCAATACAAATGTCAAGACAGTTCTACTGTATGGGGCGGAAACTTGGAGAACAACGAAAGTCATCATCCAGAAGGTACAGGTGTTTATTAACAGTTGTCTACGCAAAATACTTCAGATCCGTTGACCGGACATTAATAGCAACAACCTACTATGGGAGAGAATAAATCAGATTCTGTCGGAGGAAGAAATCAGGAAGAAGCACTGGAAGTGGATAGAATACACATTGAGGAAAGCGCTCAACTGCATCACAAGACAAGCCCTCGGATGGAATCCTGAAGGCCAAAGGAGGTAAGAACGACCAAAGAACACATTACACCAGAAATGGAAATAGACATGAGAAAAATGAACAAGAATTGGATGGAACTAGAAAAGAAGACCAAGGAGAGAGTGGGTTGGAGAATGCTGGTCGGCGGTCTATGCTTTATTAGGGGTAACAAGCGTAAGTAAGTAAGTAAGTATAACTATTAAAAGACAGATATATGAATGAAGAATATTCTTTTCAATAAGGTTTATGGTAAAGCACATCATTTAAAATTATAATATGTAAATCAACGATTGTTTGTAATATAAAATGAAATCGTTAATGTACAGCTCGAATGTACAGATTAAGTAATTGATTTTGTCGAAAAGAAAATTTTCTTTGCTGAATTCGCTTTTTCTTATTCAATGACACTGTGGGTTATTTTAATTATTTAACTCATTAATTTTTTTATTGAAATCATGAAGCTAGACCACTATGGAAAACCTAGAAGCATTTAACATTCTCCACAACCCCGAAACTGATAACTACCATGTGCTCATCAATGACTAGCTTCGTGAGAAAATTCTCGCAGTTCTGGTGAGAAGCCGTGACCATTGGAGCTAATCCGTGTCGGGTAAAAACAGATGTCGGCCTCAGTACAATGGAAGATAGTGGATTGGTTGAGGTTAGAAATTAACACCACCAATTTTCGGCTCAGTGGTCTGGTTGGTTAAGCGCCTTGCGCGAGACTGATAGGTCCCGGGTTCGAATCTTGCGGGTGCGGGGTCGTGAATGCGCACTGCTTAGGAGTCCCATATTAGGACCAACCGACCGTCCGGTGCTTCTAAGTTTTCTATGGTTGTCTAATTTCAATTGACTCATGATTTCAACTTAACAATCTCCACAACCCCTTAACTCATAAATCAATAATGTTTGGGTGAAACGTTAACTTGAATGAGCTTATACGTATAAATAAAATTGTGGGATTAGTTATTAGAATAAATATGGTTAACATATGGTGAAAGAGATATTAATGTAATTACAAATCAGAAAGTATGTAATATGTTATATAATATGAATTGGGCGCGAATTAGTACATAAAGGTGGATAAGGAATAAATTTCTCAGGAAGCTTATCAGGTGTAACAGTAGTAAAATCATTAATAATAGTAATAATAATGATAATATGTATGGATAAGTCTAAGCTATGAAAATGAACCTCAATCGAATTATAAAAATGATTAATAACTAGTTGGACTCGAAGTTGGCCAGAGTCAAAGGAGTGGTTGAACATATTTTGTTCGGATGTAAAGCTTAGACTTTTTGATTCGAATAGTTATTGCTTCAGGTGTCTGAAGGATTCTCAATCTGACGGTTTTAGGCAGATTTCTGTTAATACGAAATATTATTGTGAATGATTGCTGCATGTTAGCTTTGTGGCCCGTTTGTACTAAATGAGCTAAAATCGAGCTATTAACAGTTTTAACTATACCTATGCTTAACCACACTATGAGGTGTCAACGAACCCAAAATACAAATTCCTACAACATCTTCCAGTATAACTTGTTCCACAGGAGCAGTTGATATGATAGATATAGAAAGCAGTGACTAATCTAGGCAATTTATCTTTCAATCTCGGAGTGACCATTGGATGAGTAAGAAATAATAATTATGGTTAGGGTGAATTATAGGTTATTTGGATTGTTCTGTGTAACTTGAGTATTAGCGTTTCGCTGGTTGTATCGCCTCTAAATTTCAGGCGCAAAAACAGTAACATTTTTCTCACAGTTAGGCTTTTCTTATGCTCTCTTTTCTTGGCTAAATGTTTATTTATAAACAACTCAGAATATCCATTTTCTCAGGGTAGTATGAAGCGCCTTTTTTTCAATCACATCTAGGGAGCATATGGTCTTTATTCTATAATGAAGTGTCTTAATCAGGTTCCTTATATATTGTAGAGTAACAAAATTAAAGAACTTTGTATATTGGCCAGCTTAAGTAGTTTTCTTTTTTAAGATTCTTCTTAGTAACTCATCTATTCTACTTGTAAGCAGAACATCTAGAAGGGTTATTCTATCTCTTTTTTATTGAGCGATCAACTTCATTAAATCGCTTGAGTATTTCTATCGAGTCAGTATGGTCGCTACAAAGGACGAATGTATCGTCTACATGTCGGCATCACTATGAAAACTTGTCAGTCTAGTGTGCTAGTGGACTATTTTCTGGTTTAGCGAGAAGAGTAGGGATACAAAGTGCATAGATAAACTTAGCAAAGAACAATGTGTATTTATATACCGGTATGTCATAATTCAGAGTCGAATAAGCGTTGTAGTTACTAGTAATCATAGTGGAGAAAAAAGAGACTATGAAAAGTCAATGGAATAAATAAGTGATTGGGTAATCGCTCAACATGATAGAGAATAAAATAAATAAATGTATCAGGATATGTATGGGAATAGGATTGAAGAGAAATTTAAAGTTAATAAAGTTTGTTAGATAAACACCAGTCACCATGGGAGGTGAAGGCTAATCACACTGTTCTTTTGTATAGGTCAGGTCGTAAACGTTTTGAGTGATCGCCTCTGCAAAACGGAGTAAGATTGGTATTCTTTGTCTGTTAATTATTTTGAATACATTACTATCAGTCACTTCACATCCACTATCCAAAAGGTGCACTTGTGAAGACTAGTCATTCTCAGCCGTAGATTGCCAGGATCATGTTCAGAAAACTCAGAAGAGGCCCTTATATTTGTTCTCTCTCCAAACTTGTCTCTTAAGGTACATGTAAACCTACTGCGTTCGAAAAGCATTTTTCACATTTTAAGTGACTGGAAATCATGAATCTGTTATGACTGAAAGACAAACTTGAATAAGGTTAACTACCAATTTATGCCTCACGTTAATCTTTTCTTTAAAACAGTTTCGCTTCCAATTAGTATAGTGTCATCGGCTTGTTATAAAGTGATAAGTATATCAATAGTAGTGTTTTAGAATTACATTACAAATAAATAAGCGTTTCATACTTCTTATTCAAAATAATCATCTCATCTAACTATATATATATACAGCACTTCAATTAATGATAATTACTGTTTAAATGATGACACTTGCTTGAAGATGCAAAAGGTTTTAGGTAATCTTTTTCTGCTTAGTTAAGAATATCAGCTGCTCATTTGAAAACATACCAGAAAAACCTTGTTTTAACAAGATAAAATTTTCAACAAGTACAAGGAAATAGTTTTGTAGAATACAGGGTTATTCTCAAGAGATAATTAATGTTTGGATAATCTAAATTTTATAGTGATTTTATATTATGGGATAAAAATGGATGATCTATATTCCTAACTAAACAAATTTTTGATACAAAGGTATCCTTTTAAATTTACGATAAATAAACAATTAATAGATTAATTCAAAGTAACGTGAAATTTATAAATTACTTACCATAGCTAAAAGAATCAGTGCAATTGAATGAACCTGCTTTCATTATTTTTGCATCTAAACATGTAAAATATTGACATATTAACTTAAGAGATAAGTAAATATGTTACTGATAAGTTATATATCATTTATGATAAATTAAATACTTTTTAAAACGAATAAGAATGTTGTACGTTGTTTTGAATACGTATGTCTATTTATTGACTCATAGGATTGAATACAGTCGACAAGGAAAATTTAAATTATTGACAATGGTGGATTTTATAGTAATTTCAATAGTTGAGATCATGAGTCAATTTAAGTCAAACCACCATGGAAAACTTGGAAGCACTCGATGACCGTTTCATTTTATTGTGGGACTTCTTAGCAATGCGTATCCAGGATCCTACCTCGCGAGATTCGTCCGCGCACGAGACAGAAGATCCTGGTTTTGGATCTCGCGAGGCGGGACCGTGGATGCGCATTGCTGAGGAGTTTTACAATAGGACGAAACGGCTGTTCAGTGCTTCCAGGTTTTTTATGGTAGTCTAGCTTCAATCGACTCATGATCTCAGCTATTGAAATGGTCTACCATATATATATACGCGCATTGAAGACAACCAGATCTTTATTACTTAGTGATCAATCTGTTTGTAAATATCTCAGTACCATAGGATGTCAATTGAGACCTGAATAACTCAGTCATAACGTTTATGATGGTGAAGTCTATTGACATGAATCTGAATCTCCAAAGGAGAGCCAGTTCCCTCAGAATTACACGTACGCCTAGCACGAAACCTAAGCTCAGGATTTCTTGCCAATTACCTAATATTTCAGCATAGTACCCTATATAGAGAGTCGCTTTGTCCAATGATCACATTGCGAATCAGTCTGTAGAATTCAGTCGGCGTAAATAAAGACTAGGAAAACATAATATTGGTCTTAATTTAGTGATCAATGATCTGTGCAACCAAAACTGAGGCTTGACTGAAAATCGATTCTTCGTTTAAAGACTTATTTTAACATAATCAGCATTGTAGTTAGAACTTACTCTGTTTGGTGTTAGGATTATCATAGTATGAATATCGGCGGTCTTTTTGTGAATAATCCTCTGTATGCGGAGAAAAAGAGAAAAAACGATAAATACAGTGGTACGTAATTCATATGATAATAGAACTTTCTCATCATTACTCTTAATTATATCCATTTTTAATGCTCTGTGTTAAAAAAGATGGATAAATCCACAAGCATTATTACCAATCATTTAGCATGATTCATGGCACAAGTACTACTCACAAAGGACAATTCATATTTTTAGTGAATTCTTTCTTTTTTAATGGAATGGAATTTCAAAGTTGATTTATGCTTTGGTATGTTTTCCTGATGATTGTTCATAAGAGAATACGATAAGACAAAATTTATATCAAGTAACTTTGGTTTTAAAAAGATAGACCCTCTAGAGAATTCACTTCATAGTTTGTCGGCCTTATTAACACGAAGATCACCTTATGGTCTTATTCGTGCATAAGGTGATAAGATCTACTCCAGTGGTTGATAAATTTATTGAAGCAAATAAATACGCGATGAGGTCAATAGTGGTTGATAAGCAAAAGAGGATTCTATGAATTCAAAGACTTGATAACTAATCGTGGCTGTAAACTTGAATCTACTTTTTTTTTAAAACTATTCAAGTTTCCAAACATTGAATAGCAATTTGATGGAAGCTTTGATTAAATTTAATATTTTATTTATACTACTTATAAGTAACTGAAATCAAATGATTGTATAATTTGTGAAACTGTGTTTTCGGTATAAATAATTTCTATTTTGTGAAGATGAATATTAATTCAGTGTTTAATCATTGCCAGTATTAAACCCGATAAAAAATGAACATAAAAGGTTATACTTTGAACGTTGAAATATTCAATTTAGTAGACAGGCTATGATTTCAAGTTTCATATTTATAAATGTGTAACATTACTGGTACCACTAAGCACTTTAGTGTTTTATGGAGATACTTGTTATCACCTTTAGATTTTAATATTCACTAGGTTGAAGAACCACAACAGTCAGCAAGTAGAAAATCAAAATATAAATTTCTCATATATAGTTATGAATATTCAGAGCAGTATGACATAAACAGAACAAGTTCAGATCATTGTTAATAGCTTTTATTCTGAATGATGATAATTTAAATTTCATTAGTTGAGATCATGAGTCAGTCGAAGCCAGAAAGCCATGGAAAAGCTGAAATCACTGGACAGCCGTTTCGTCATACTGTAGGACTTTTCATCAGTGTTCGCGCACGATCCTGTTCCCGGGATTTGAACACAGGACCTGCCGGTCTCTCATGCGAGTGCTCAACCATTAGACCACTGAGCCGGCATCCAGCGGTGTTAATGTCTAACTTCAATTAATCTACGAAATTGAGTGACTCATCCGGCCATTGTCATCAGTGAGTTACTATCTTGCAACTGGGTTCGAGTCCCACGAGCGAAATCGTGGATGTGCTCTGTGGATGAGTCTCATAATAGAATGAAACGGCCGTCCAGTACTTCCAAGTTTTCCATGGTGATTTGAATCATAATCTCAACTATTGAAATCAATTTTTAATTAATATTCAATTAAAATGATTAGGCAATCTATGATTATCAGTTTTGCTCTTGGCAACGCTAATAATCAATATGTATTTACTTGGTATAAAAGTTAATTTTGTGTTAAAAGGAATTATTTGAGATAAAAACTTAAATGAATATATATCATGAATGATCATCAATCCTATGGATAACATTCCTTATGTTTTACAGATTCATTCATTATCATACTTCACTGAATGTGTGTATCTGAAAAATTCATTTGCATTCAACATTTTTGTATCATTTCAATCGTTGAGACCATGGGTCCATTGAAGTTATGTTATGTTTGATATGATTACAAACAACATACAAATCTATAATACTCTACTATTCATACTTTATACAAACAAAATAATCATTTGTATTTACATTGGATGAAATTTTCGAGACATTATCGACAAAAAATAGAAACTTTTAAAATGTTTCATACCTTTACTTAGAGACTATAAACTCACCTTTTAATTTTATATAAAATGCACATATAGTTAAGATTTAATCATTGCCAAATCAATATCTAATTCAAGGTCATTCAATAATCAATCAAATCACTATTCACTAAAAACTCTCTTTTGATTACTTTTAAAGTAACCCACATTTACTATCAACAACAACAAAAAATTAAAACTAATGATTGTTTAGATTTCTATTGTTTTCTTTTTACAATAAACATTGACATCAGACATAGTTTACATCATATTTTAACAGTCAGTAATATTGTGAATAAATATGAAATTGATAATCGATTGAGAAAGACTATAGTAAACATTGAACGAGAAGATATTGTCATATTGTAAAGTAAGCTCTGAATACATAAGTATCACATTGATTTACCTATTAACTTGCCAGTTGTAACTGTGATATCAAAGTAACTATTGTTTATGATATTCATATCAATACATACTCGATCGTGTTTTAATGACAGACATCACATTTAACCTTTTTTTGCAATATCTTATAAAGCAAATTACATGTTTCTTTAATCCAGATCAATTTTTTAATGTTAGATGTTTGGTAAACACTTGAGTTTCCTACTCATGTAATAGTAATAATAATAAATCAATTCCGCGCGAAATATTTTGTGGCAGAAAACAATTCTCGGAACTAGTTATGCATTATCACAACAAATTTCTCTTGAACATAGGTTTCCATTGTAATGGATTAAAACTTATTTTAAAAGTATTTTTCTTGCTCAACATCTTCTATTTGTATTCAGTCATTAAAGTTTTTTTATCAAGTTAGCCGTTGTAACTATTTTTTTCCTCTATCATACACAAGATGCTTGAGTTTCAACATGTTTATCTCTCGTTTTTTCCAAAGAATGAATATGAAGGAAAATATTTCAAGAAATTCAGTGTTTGCGCTTGAGATTTTTGGTGTTTAGCATCACAGTAACTTGAAATCGACAACCTTCAACCATCACCTCATCTTAACATAGTTCATGCGATGAAGAGTCACCTAGACTAGTGGTCACAGTTGAAAATGATCTATAGAATTCCGTTTTCACCTGGCACACAGGACATGGTCACAACCCAGTGACCAATCAGTGGTAAATAAACTACAGTCCTACAGGAGGTGATTTGTTGCCCGAATTGCTCAGTGCTAACGTCTCTAACTGCGAAGCTGGGTAATACGAGATCGGATTCACCAGGGAGTATTAGTTCTCCCAAGGTTACAGTTACAACATGCAGACGAGTGCTATGTAACACCGAACCTAGGTTCATTTATCACCTAACAACTTGTGATCTCATTATGGTCCCGTGTAAATATATACAAACAAGAGTCATAATTACTAAGCTTAAGTCAATCTAAAAAGACTAGCTTGATTGAAATGTTGTAACAGTTGAAAAATCGATGGCCGAAACACTTGAGAAAACTGTCTTCTATAGCACTTCATTATGTACAACGTTTTGCATTTCGAAATTTGTGAATAATACAAAGTTTTAATTCTAAATGTTTTCTAGGTTGCTTTGACGAACCCTGTATATACTATAAACATGGTGCATGATATGCAGAACCATTATTTTCAAATGATTTCTAATATTCTTTTAGTTTATAAGCAGCTGATGGAAAGTAACGTAATAAGTGAATTTATATTTATTCTGATACTATTACTGTAAATGTTTTAAAACAAATTAATTATATGATTACAAATAATAAAAGTGTGAATTAAAAGTACTTTACTATCGACGTTACTTGTATGTACTTACCATCTGTGTCAGTTAATGTATCACTGAGATTAATATTACTATAGGCTTTCCTAGTAGATTGTTCAGCTAATGAAAAAAACAAAACAGAAATTAACACACAGATAACTGTATCAACGCTAAAAGACAAGACAAATTGTGTTACTTAGTTATTAGCAATAGGTTGTATTGTTTTGTAATCAATCTCTTTTAGGATAAATGAGACAAAACATCTAAATGAAACATCAAAGAAAGGTGTATCATTCAATGAAATGACTTTTAAAAATAATAATAATTTCGTTCTGCAAATTTGTGCGTTGTTTTTCAAAATAACATTCATTTGTTAAACATTGTAACAATGAAATAAAATAGGAAATTCCATAGTTTTGTAACAATTCCTCTATTTAAATGCAGTCTACATAGCTTAATAAATTCAGGTAGACAACCGTCAGAAACTATGGAGTAGTCGATAATGATCTCATCCTAGTCCTGGACTCCTCAAGGTATAATCTAAAATGATGATTTAGGCAATCATGATAACAATGTTTTTGACAGTTGAAGAATCATGCCTTCACATATTTTTGTCAGTGTTTCAGTGTATGTGTTAGAAACATTAAACAACGATGTAAATTATTGTTATTGTTTGACAACCATCTTTGAAATCATTTATCAGGTAACACTTAGTCATGACACTGTGTTACTCTATTTTAGTCAACTTATAGTGAACGAGATCACAGGTGGGGGACATTCGAATATATTAGAACACGAAATTACAGAACATTTTACCAAAGTCTGAGAACCACACAGTAAATACTTATTTTGCAAAATATCAATCAGTTATCTAAAACTTGACTGTTCCTTTTGAAAATATCAGTCAATCGTCTCAAACTTAATTATTCCTGCATTTTCAAAACCAATTGCTTTTTGTTCCCATTCTTTTCTTCTCGACCTTCTGTTGTCAGACATTCTCACCCTGACTATCGTTACATACTACTACTTTCGATATCAGTAGCACACACCACAAGCTCTTTATCACTTACCGAGATTTCCATAAGCTTTTCTTGCACTGGGCGGTAATCCAAAATCAAACAGTTTTTCACGGTCATTTGGATGAGTAGACGGGGTACTGGACAAGTGATCTATAAAGTTTAGAAAAATGAAAACATAAAATGTAACCAACACATGTAGAATAGAAACAACCTTATAATATGCTAAAACTATGTTTGTTTCATCAAAGCTAAAATGAAACAACTTTTCAACACTGATTGATTTCTTATCAGAATGAGTTTTGTGGAGAGTTTAGGAAATTTCACAGGTTGAAATTATGAGTCAATTGAAGCTAGACCACCATGGAAAACCTGGAAGTATCGGACGGCCGTTTCGTCCTAGTATGGGACTCCTCAGCAGTGCGCATTCACGAACCTGCCCACCGTGGGATTCGAACCCCAGGACCTACTGGCTTCGCACGCGAGCACTTAACCATTAGACCACCGAGTCGGCATCTAACGGTGTTAATGTCGAACTTCAACCAATCCACGAAGTAGCGCCACCATACACCATTTTCTTCAGTGAGCTAATATCTCACAACAGATCTGGTTGAACTCCACAGGTGACGGCTCCTCACTAGGACTCCAGGAGGTTCTCCTGATTTTATTCACTAGTGAGCAGGTGATTATTATTATCAGAATGAGTTTTGTGGAGATTTTTAGAAATTTCATAAGTTGAAATCGTGGATGCGCACTGCTGAGGAGTCCCATACTAGGACGAAACGGCCGTCCAGTGCTTCCAGGTTTTCCATGGTGGTCTAGCTTCAATTGACTCATGATTTCAACCCGATTTTTTATCCTTTTTCACTCGATGTTAGATCATGACAAAACTAATCTTTAGAATGAAATTGATTAGTTAATTTGAAAAATTGATCGATTAAAACTATGCAAAATATAAAAAAAGGCCCTAGTTACTATGATTACAATATCACAAATATAATATATCCTTCTGTTTTTATTTTGTGTTCTCATGTCAATATTTTATTTAACCATAGGCTAATAATAAATTGGCATCGGATTACAATCGTAACAAACTTATTTTTGTACAACCATGTAATATTCACTCAAATCAGAATAGAAGAATTTCTTATGAAATCAATTTTTAAAAAAGTCAAATGTTTCATTTCTTTCTATTTTAAGCTTTATGTTACTTTTTTTTTCATTTTTAACTTCTATTATGCTGATAAATTTTTGTCGTTGTTGTTGTTGTTGTTGTTGCTATGGTTGGAATGTTAGAGATTCAATATATTTCTATCATTACTGTTTATTATATATTTCGAAGGTTGTTTTTAAAACGAATGGTTATCAATATTAATAATAATAATAATAATAATAATAATAATAATAATAGTAATGATACTAATAATAGTATTAAATACAATGAAAATAATTTACTATTGACTCTTATTTGACATTTTATCTCATTAATGAATATACGTTTCTTATAATGCTTATATGAGTATGGTATGTTTAGGTATATATATATATATATATATATCTAGAATAGCTCATATACAGTTTATATTACTGATTTTTAAGACAGTACAATTAATCAACAATTATATCATTATTATAGCATGATTCATATAATAAGAAAGTCATTGAAACAATAAATAAATTGACTTATTGATTAATTGAGAAATAATTAAATACAATAAACTAATTAAATATTTGATTTCCTTTATTAGATTCAATGAATTCTATAATTTAGTTAATATTTATTTATCTTTGTATAGAAAAATAAACATTAGTTTAAATTATGTATAGTAAACAATGTTTACTACCAATAATGATAATGGTAGTATCAGTATGAAGATATTTGATATTTATTTCTGGCAATGTTACTTTTTAGTGAATAATGTTAATAAAATATCAGAAGAGATTATTTGTAAAGATTATAGTAATTTCAGTAGTTAAGATCATGAGTCAATTGAAGTTAAACCACCATGGAAAACCTAGAAGCCCTGAACGGCTGTTTCATTCTATTGTGGGACTCCTCACCAATGCGCGTCCGTGATTCCGACGCGCGAGACCGAAGATCTTGGTTTTGAATCTCGCGAGGCATGATCGTGCATGAGCACTGCTGATGAGTTCTACAATAAAACAAAACGGCTGTTCTATGCTTCCAGGTTTTCCATGGTGGTCTAGCTTCAATTGATTCATGATCTCAACTATTCAGATTATCTAATAATATTACATAGCTTATTATATAAATTTATGAAGGGAAAACTCTAGTTATTATAGGATTCACATATTCCTACTGATCCAATGATCAGTACAAGAATATATTTTCTAACAAAATGAATGGTAATAAAAGACTGATAAACTGATTTATTTAACACTCTAAGACTTCATTGTTATATATATATTTATATATATATATATATATATATATATATATATATATATATATATATATATATATATATATATATATGGGTATACAGAAATTCTTGTTTGAAACATGATATTCCATAGACAGTCTGTTTACATCATTTTTATAGTGTCACCTCACTACTAAAAATTATTCCAAACAAATACATGTATTCAGTATTTTCAGCCGTTACTTTATAATTAAACGGAGAATTGTTAAGCCAGAACACTAATAATGGTTATTATGATAATCAGCAAATTAGAGGAGTTCAGTGAATGTAAATATGATATGAAATATACAAACGATTTTGTAATCACAGTTGTTTGGTTGATTGAATTATGTATATAGGTCAATTAGACAACGAACACTTTAACTCATATAGATAAAATGAGCTCCAGAAAATTAAACTAAGTTACATATGATCTCAACATTCAAATAAATATAGACTAAGCTTTATCACTATATTCCCTGTTATGATTATTTGCATAGGAGAATATTAAGAAGTTATTTTGTGACGATTATTAGATATAAAATATAAACCTGTATATATTCGTTTAGGTAGTCAGTATTTCTCACTTTTAGAATTACAGATAATCTTTGCGCTCATATACCAAAATCAAAAATTCAATGAATACATGATATCATGACTTATGAGTATTATGCATTGTATAAGCAATAGTCTTCGGAAAATCCAAATTGGTTTTATCCATAAAGCAACCACTTATGTAGTCATGAACTTCATAAAGATTTATCAGAGTGATAATGTGATGTTTGCTAGTAAAAGGAAATAACTCGTTCTCTATTCATAGATGTGTTAGTTTAGTTCATGTGATTTGCACACATTAGAAATTAGAACAAAACGTTACAGTGTGAGTTACAGATTGGAAATTAATAGGTGGTAAAGTGAGTTTCGAATTGTGTTTATGTGATCATTTTTAGTATATTGAATATACTAAAATATGTCACGTAACTGTTTTTAATTATACAAATTTAAGAAAACTTGAAAAAGTCTGAGAACTCCAATATTGGTCTATTCGATTTGATCGATAGTTGTTGTGTAACCTTGAAAAATTAATATTTCACAACAACAACTCAAAAGTGTTGTGATTGTGTTATTAACAGGTTGGTCCTACTTCAAACTATTAACAATGCACGTTTGATCTTCCATTTCACTAGTAATCTACTATGAAAATGTAATAAAGAAAAAGAAACGCTTTGGTGCTTATTCCACGGTTCTATAAATTTGTCGGATATAAGCTCAATGTTACATCTTGATATTGATCGTTAGCTTTTCCTTCATTCCTAATCAACATTCGGACAAATCATAGGAATTACTTAGACGATTTTCACTGGGTGGGACGAGAGATGTTATAATGATATTGAAGAATGGGTCATTCCTAATAGTTATATTTGAAATTGAACAGTGAAAGCAAAAGAAGATTCTTTTTAGCTAGATCATTGGTAGAAAACAGTATACCACTTCAATGTTACTGAATGTTTCCATTAAATTAGTGAGACCCTTGGGTTTGTAAATTAGTTGTCAATCAGTCAATTACGAAGTAATATGAAGGATTCAACTGCTGAGAATGTCACATTTCACATAAGTAGTGCAATAAAGAAAATAACTAAACTGAAAAATATTGAAATCAAAAGTCATACCAGTAATTATGTAAATTTAAATGCGGTGAATTTGGTTAAGAAGGAACGATTCAAAACAAAAATGAAAATCAAGGGATTGTAATATGTAGATCTAAAAAAGAATAAGGAATGTAAACATCTATTTCGGTGCTTTAAATTAGGGTATTTAACTGGAGAATAAGACGTTTTGGTTGTAAAGTATGAACAGAATGTGTGTGACATTCGATATAGCTTAATTTATCAGTAAATGATTTACGGCTGTCCTACTCTAGACTGATAAGCAATAAGCATTTTCCCAACCTATAACTTACTGGTCACCACAGTGTACTAGAGTAAGTTGTAGCTGAGAACTCCTCAGTACATGATCTAACTACGTCACAACCTATAGATGGGTAAATTTAACTAATACATTGATTTAACTTCAAGTTTCAGTACTTATGTGAGTTGTAGTAATATAGTTCCATGGTAATTTATACGACATCTCACAATGTTTTCATTATATTGACTGATTAATTCAGTATATAACCTTTATATCTATTAATCAAATTTAAACTGTCAAGTTATCAATATTCTTCATGATAGAGATTGCATAGCTGTTTTTGAATGTTATTACGGCTAAAAACCGACCTTAGTATATTAATGAAAACCTGGAAGGATTGGATAGCTATATTTACCCAAAATGGGACTCCTCAGCAATATATATCAATAACCTTAAAAAGGATCGAACCTAGGACCTCCAAGTTTTGTAGAGAGTGCTTACCCTCTATATCTCTAAGCAGTGTATGAGAAATTTATCCACATAAAACAATGACATTTAGTTGAGGATTATCGCCAGTTGACTGAAGTTAGACATGTCAATCTGGGAACTTTTTAGTACATGATCTAATAACATCACAAACTAGAGATGGGTTACTACTATCTAAGCTTCATTATTGTTAGTCAGATTTGAAAATATGTAAATTAAATGATCATATATATATATATATATATATATATATATATATATATATAGGCACTTATTATTCTTAAATGAATTCTATCAAAAAGTCAATTATTTAGTTAATTCAAACAATTAACATTC